GAACTCCCTCGGAAAAGGAGATCTGTGTTTCATTTATTAAAAAGGAACAATTGGACTTGATTTGTTTACAAGAAACACATATAACAAGGTTACACAGGAAACTATTGATTAATAAAAGACTTGGTCAGGAGTTTATTTCATCGGACAAGGTTAAAAAAGAGGGGTAGTGATTTATGCAAAGGAGAGATTATTACCGAAATTTATCTTTAAAGATGACCAAGGAAGATTTGTGGCAATTGAAATTCAAACACAAGGAGAAAAATTTTTGATAGTAGGAATTTACGCACCAAATGAGGGGAAATCCGATTTTTTTAAAAAGTTGCATGAGACCCTGATGGACTATTTGGATTATAATGTGATTTTGATGGGAGACATGAATGGAGTGGTATCTACACATATGGACAAGGCACAAAGACAGGTAGTCACTAAGGATGGTAGACTACCGAAAACTTTTTTTGAGATGACAGACAACTTGGACTTAGTCGATATTTGGAGAACAAAGAACCCCTTGGCTAAAGAAGGAACCTTCTTTTCTGAAGCCAAAATGACATGGACAAGAATTGACCAAATATGGGTAACTAGAGGAATGGCACCAAAGACAAGAAAAGTGGAAATCTGCCCAAAAACCTGCTCTGACCATAATGCTGTTAAGATGGAAATGAAACTAACACCAACTGGCTCTTTTAGATGGAGGATGAATGACACCTTATTCAGAGATGAAGAAGTGCTTAAGAAGGCCCAAAAAACCTTGAGAGACTACTTTGAGATAAATATGAGCACCAATGTGGAAAAAAGAGTAATCTGGGACGCAAGTAAAGCGGTTATGAGAGGGTTCCTGATACAACAGAATGCATTAAAGAAGAGAACCCAAAATGAGAAGAAGGATAAAATTTTGGAGAAAATAAAGGAAAGTGAAAAAAAAATTGAGAGCAAAACCAAAGTCGCAAGAGATTTTGAGAGAAATAAAGTTATATCAAGTGCAATATATGAAAATGATGAATCAGGAGATAGAATGGAAAATTAAACAAATGAGACAAAAGACATTCGAGTCGGCTAATAAATGTGGGAAATTGTTGGCTTGGCAAATGAAAAAAAGACAAAAATTAAATACAGTTACAAATTTAGAAGTGGAAGGAAGGAATATACAGAACCCAGCTGAGATTAGAAATTGTTTCCAGAGGTACTTTAAACAACTATATACACAAGGGCCACAGAAAGAAACTGACGTAGATCGATTTTTGAAAACAAATGGATTACAAAAAATCTCTCAAGAAAACAAATTAATGTTGAACTACAAAATAACTGAACAGGAGATAGAAGGTGCCATTCAGAATATGCAATTGGGTAAATATCCAGGACCGGATGGACTGACTTCTAGATACTAAAGATCCTTGAAAGAGTGGTTACTACAACCTTTAAAGGAAGTCTGCAATGAAATATTGGAAGGGAAAAGGGCACCAGAGTCGTGGAAAGAAGCGTATATTACACTTATACCGAAAACAGAGACTGAAAAGACTCAGCTTAAGAACTACCGCCCCATATCATTACTTAATGTGGATTACAAAATTTTTGCAGACATTTTGGCCAAGAGATTGAAAAAGTGTTGATGGAAGAGATTCATAAAGACCAAGCGGGCTTTCTCCCGGGAAGACACTTGTCTGACAATTTGAGGAATATAATTGATATTTTGGAAAAATTAGAAGTGAACATAAATACTAAAGCAGTTTTGATATTTGTGGACGCGGAGAAAGCTTTTGATAATATCTCTTGGAGTTTTATGAAGAAGAACCTACAGGGGATGGGGGTAGGCCAAGGCTTCGAAAACGGTATAAGTGCAATTTATTCAGAACAAAAGGCTAAACTAATTGTAAATAATGTGGTGACGGAAGAATTTAAGATAGAAAAAGGGACACGACAAGGTTGCCCAATTTCCCCATTGCTTTTTATATCGGTCCTGGAGGTTTTGCTGAATATGATTAGAAGGGACCAGTTGGTTAAAGGTATACAAGTCGGAGCCAAACAGTACAAATTGAGAGCATTTGCAGATGACTTAGTATTGACGTTACAGGAGCCAGAATCTAGTACCAAAAGGGTTTTAGAACTGATTCAAGAATTTGGTCAGGTTGCAGGATTTAAACTGAATAAGTTAAAAACCAAGGTCTTAGAGAAAAACTTAACACCGATCGAGAGAGAGAGGTTTCAGAATGAGACAGGTTTAACAGTGGTTAAGAAAGTGAAATACCTGGGGATTAACATGACAGCAAAAAATGGGAATCTATTTAAAGACAACTATGAAAAATGCTGGGCTGAAGTGAAAAAAGATTTAGAAATTTGGTCAAATTTGAAGCTTTCACTGCTGGGTCGTATTGCTGCGATAAAAATGAATGTATTGCCTAGAATGTTGTTTTTGTTTCAAACATTGCAAATTGTGGACAAAATGGATTGCTTCAAGAAGTGGCAGAGAGACATTTCTAGATTTGTCTGGCAGGGCAAGAAGCCCAGAATAAAATTTAAGATATTAACTGATGCAAAGGAAAGGGGTGGATTTGCCCTGCCAGACTTTAAACTTTACTATGAATCAGCAGCTTTTTGCTGGTTGAAAGAATGGCTGCTTCTTGAAAACACTGACATTTTGGATCTAGAAGGTTTTAACAATGTATTTGGATGGCATGCATATCTGTGGTATGATAAGGTCAAAGCACATAAAGCATTTAAAAACCATATTGTCAGGAAAGCATTGTTTAATGTTTGGATAAGATACAAGGACTTATTGGAAAATAAAACCCCAAGGTGGCTGTCACCGATGGAAGCGAAAGCTCTGAAAAAGCTCAATATGGAGGTCAAATGGCCGAAATATTGGGAAATTTTGGAACAAGATGGAGATAGACTGAAATTGCAGAGTTTTGAAAAACTAAAAAACAAAGTGCGAGACTGGCTTCATTATTATCAGATAATGGAGGCATACAATTTGGATAAGAAAATCGGCTTCCAGGTGGAAAAATCAAAATTAGAAACAGAATTGTTAGAACCCAAAACTAAGATTTTGTCAAAGATGTATAACTTGCTGTTGAAATGGAATACTCAGGATGAAACGGTGAAATCTGCTATGATTAAATGGGCACAAGACGTTGGACATAACATAATGATGGCTGACTGGGAACAGTTATGGACCACAGGTATGAAGTTTACGGCATGCAATGCCTTAAGAGAGAATATTATGAAAATGATATACAGGTGGTACATGACCCCAGTCAAGCTTGCAAAAATCTACCATTTGCCCGATAACAAATGTTGGAAATGTAAAGAAACTGAAGGTACATTCTTTCACCTTTGGTGGACGTGCCCAAGGATTAAGGTTTTCTGGGAGATGATTTATAATGAATTAAAAAAGGTATTTAAATATACCTTCTTGAAGAAACCAGAGGCCTTTCTCCTGGGCATAGTCGGCCAATCGGTGTTAAAGAAGGACAGAACCTTCTTTATGTATGCTACAACAGCAGCAAGAATACTTATTGCAAAGTATTGGAAGACACAAGATCTACCCACTCTGGAAGAATGGCAGATGAAAATGATGGATTACATGGAATTGGCGGAAATGACTGGTAGAATCCGAGACCAGGGAGAAGAGTCGGTGGAAGAAGATTGGAAGAAATTTAAAGACTATTTACAGAAATATTGCAAAATTAATGAATGTTAGAATGATGTTGGATTGAAGTTAAGTGGTCTCTAGCTGTAATGGTATAAAAGAATATGAAAAAAATGGATTTTTAATAGGTAAAAATTTAATGCTATAATATATTAAGATAAAGATCAGGATAAAATAAGGAGGGAAAGGTATTGCTGAATTAATAAATTGAACTGGAATACAAAAAAGGGAGGTATGAGGAGGTCCGGGAAACAAGCAAATGAAAGATAAGTGATGAAAAGATGGAATTGTTTTAAACTGTTTTTTATTTTTTATTTTTTATTTTTCATTATGTAATATTGTGAAAACTTTAATAAATATGTATATAAAAAAGAGAGAGATTAGAAGCACCTGCTGTAAGGGTTGAGGTCTTACCTGTAATCCCAGCTCGTTAACAGTACCTATACAAAAGACACCTGTCGACAGATCAAATACTTTCCCCCCTCACTGTAGCTCTTTTGCCATATCCCGAGGATTCTGCCCCTCAGCAGATCCAAAGGACCTTAGATCCAGTGTATCCAAAGTATCTGGTATCCTGCAACTCCTCATTCTGAGGCTTTCCCTGTTCAGTGTCCGGTGTGAGAAATATCCCAGCTCTTACCTCCTACCTCATTTCAGGGCCTCTGTCACATTGGACCCCTGTTTCCACCAGCAGACATCAGCAAGACAGAAATCTATGCAGTATCCCCAACTCCCCCCTCAGAAATAGGCACAAGGGTTTAGGATTGTACTCTGAAACTGCAATCTTGGACACACTTAACTAGGAGTAAATCTCACTGAACTCAAATATAGGAGTTACTCCCGAGTAGACATGTATAGGATCACACAGTGATGCTGCCAGTTACCATTTGTTTAAGAAGAGACAAGCTGACGGGGAGAATTAGGAATCGGCCTGAAGAAAAATATCAAAAGAACTGGAGCAAATTCATTTATTTTTTGAAAGAAAACTGTACTCAGTTAAAAACGTTTGTAGCATTAACGTGAAATGTTTTGTAATGTGAAATTATGATGCTGATTTATAAATAAGAATGTTATTTCTTAAGGTGATTATAGATAAAAAAGTGATTATGGGAATGCGAAAGATATGTTATAGGCTATAGGGATGTCAGAAAGAGAGGTAGAAGGAAGTCAAAGCTCACTTTGAGCAAATAAGATGTTGTGAATGTGTATTTTGAATTAAAATGAAATATGGAAAAATCCAATAAAAATTATGTTAAAAAAGAAGAAGAAGAAGAAGAGACAAACTGAACTGAGACATGCATGGGAGAGGCCTGCTTGACAGGAAAGGCCCTGCTCTGAGCCAAGAGTAAAAAACCCTCTTCGTTATCTTTAAATTATATATCATTTATTGAAATATAAAGATCTTAATTTACATGGTTTTTTTTAAAAAGACAAAAATAAGAACGGGGCACTTGTATTACATTTTGTACCTATGGTCACTCATTCCAACTGGTTCTTCTCAAACACTTCACAATACCACCTTTATGGAAACTCTTTCTCGCTTTTCTTTATCATTCTAAAATATAAATTTTGGACATTTAAAAGTGCAACAGTTAGCGTGCCTGTGGAGTATATCACAGTAAAAACAAAAAACAAAAAATTATAAACAAAGGCAGTGATACAGCTTGTCATAAATGTTTTGGCAGTACTCTCAAAGTTGATATAAAAATACATATATACATATTGATGTATAACATCACCTTATCTTATGTCCCTCATTATATCATAGGACTGTTTGTACATTTGCAGACCACATTGTAAGGAACAGGGCCATTCCAAATGAGAAAGTTGTGTTTCACAGGCAAGGTCGATTGTCATGATACAAATACAGAACAGACAAAAGCTGGGTATATCTTTTCTGAAAGCTTCTCAAAACTGAGCCACAGAGAAATAGTCACTAAGATCCAAAACAGGCCTCCTTAACCTCGGCCCTCCAGATATTTTTGGCCTACAACTCCCATGATCCCTAGCTAGCAGGACCAGTGGTCAGGGGTGATGGGAGTTGTCCCAAAACATCTGGAGGGCCGAGTTTGAAGAAGCCTGTCCTAAAACAAATCATCAAGACAGTAACAAAATCCAGGGTTTTTCCCCAGGCTAATATTGAAAGACTAACATTGCAATCTTATATGGGTCTATTCAGAAGTAAGTCCCATTGAATTCAATAGGGCTTACTCTTGGGTAAGTGAATACAAGATTGCAAGCCTTAGTCTAACAGGTACCTCCTGCATTAATGTGTTGTCTTTGTAAAGTTTTCTGATGTGCAGTCCATTGCAGTGTCAGGAACTTTTCATAGGATTATAAATCTAAAAAAATATACTGCATATTTTGGTCCACAACTAGAACTTGGTCCCAATCCAGCTATAGTTACCTTGCCCAAAACATGTTGGGCATAACTAACATGAGAGAGTAGGTGGCGATAAATGTGCTCATCCACGTTGCAACGTAGACAGGAAATTAAAATGGAGCCCCATCTGTGACATGCAGTATGGGCAGATGTGCATTGCAATGGGATCTGTGTTCACCTGAAGCAAGATATGGGATTAGCATGAGTTTGTTTTGTGAGATACATAACAAAAAGTACAATAAGAAAAAGAAAAACCAAGGTACGAATTATTGCAGCTTATTCTTTAGTGGCCAGTGAAACAGGAAAGCCTGCGAAACATGAGAAGACCTGATCCATGTGCAGTAATGCAAAACACACACACGCAAGTAAGGTGTCTGCAATTTCCATCCATTGCACCGGCACATTTGTAATAAATTGGATCTAGCAGAGAAGAATATCTCGAAGGCTTGGACTTACTCATCTGGTCCAAGTATTTGCACAGATTTATACTGGGCCCATTGTGTTTTGGCATTCAGCACCTCAAATAATTATTTACCACAGATATCCCTATGTGCACATTTAAGTCCTATTAATTTTAATGGGATATGGTTCCACGCTTATTTTGGGAGATCAAACTGAGCTCTTTTTCACTCAATGCACTGAAGCATCACTTGATGCTTCATGTTTAAGTTGTAGTTAGTTATTTAGCATCAAAAGTAGGCTGTGTAGTTCTGAGTCCGGCACAAAGCATTGATTTACGCTCATTTTTAATCCTGCCAGGTGCTCATCAACTGCTGCGGAGCTTAGTTCCAACACAGCACTGTCTCTAGCACAAGCTGCCTTCATCTGTTTGTCCTTTAACTATCACGTCAATAAAGCATGGAGCCATAGCTGTAATGATAGGCAAGCCTGCGAGTTTGGCACAGAGAAAGTTGTATTGCTCAAAATGGTTGCTCACCACTTACCAATTGCTACCCTATGCTGCTCTTAGTGATATCACAGGAAATCCAGCAAGCATCCACATTGGGCTACATTTGCACAAAGGAAATGCCAGATCAATTAATTTCTACCATCTGGTTTCAATACCAGGAACTCAGCTATACAGCTGCAAATAAAATGTTTTAAGCGTGTTTTAAGTGTAATATACAATGTGACACTAGATGGGGATGGTGAGCCTTATGGAAAATTCAATATATTTTTAAAAACGCTTTTTAAAAAGCATTTTCAGAACGTTTTTTATATGTATGTAGATTCCACCCAGGTCTGAGTCTCGGTATGGTTTATTATAACTACACAGAATATGCCAAGAATATGTCAAATTCCTTTTTCCCCACCAGTGAGCATCTGTTGCCTGCCACATACATGTCTAGGATTAAGGAACAGGAATTTTTGAGCTAATGGCACAGCTCTTTTGCATGTTTACCCCGTGACATTTCTCTTTAATGAAGCTCAAGCTCTGGATTTATGAAAAACATGGAATTTCTTTTTGTGCACCATACTTTCATGCTCCCTGTATGTCATAGACTGATTCTAGTTCATGATTTCCATAGACTGTGACAAAATCACAGCCTAGGGCTGCAACTCTATGCCCACTTAGCTGGGAATAAGTCCCATAGAACTGAATGAGGCTCATCCAGGAATGCATTGTAAATTATCACAGAAACACTGTCAGACACATTATATTCAGATCAAGGAAGGACTCAAACTATTGTGTGAGAATGACTGAAAGAAGGATCAGCAACTGCTTAGGGCCATTTTACACATTACAGAGACAGATGTGCCACTTGAATATACACACCACAGAGGTCACAGCCAATCCTATATTTTAAATATATTTCCTTCAAAAATGCAACATTGTTTAGAAACAATTGCTTCACTCCCAATTCAGTGCCCATTGGTGTGGATGGAAAAAGACTCTTTACAGTCATACCTCGGGTTACAGTCGCTTCAGGTTGCGTGTTTTCGGGTTGCGCATCGCGCCGAACCCGGAAGTACCGGAACAGGTTACTTCCGGGTTTCGGCGCTCGCGCATGTGCAGAAACACTAAATTGTGCTTTGCACATGCACAGAAGCGCCAAATCGTAACCCACGCGTGCACAGACACAGCGCTGCGGGTTGCGAACGTGCCTCCTGCACAGATCACCCAGCGCTGCGGGTTGCGAACGTGCCTCCTGCGAACGTGCCTCCTGCACAGATCACGTTCGCAACCTGAGCATCCGCTGTCCTTGTTAACGTCCAATGTTATAGCTAAAAACTTGACAAGGGCAAGAGGATCCAGTTCCATTTCTGTTATACCAAAAGTAGAACTTTTTCTTTCTTTCTTTCTTTCCAAAGTAGCTACAGACTTAATTGGAAATCTCAGGCTCGGGAAGAAGCGTTTTCAGAAAGAGCATTTGGTGCATCCAATCCATTTGTCACATGCAAACCCCAAACAAACTTCCCGATGTGCTCTTTTTCTCAACCGCTCCAAGCACCCTCTCTATTGATTGATTAGCCACACATATTTTGTGCAATAACTTGAGGAACCTGGTTGCAAACGAAGGTTTAAAAATAAACTTCAATTTTTGAAGAGTTCCACTGAATCAAAGGAGGATTCACCAGCACATAAATTCATTGCATTAGGATAGCTACTCTGCTAAGGGTGGATGCCATAGAATACATTAGCTTTCCCTACTTCCTAAACTAGTTTTAATTTACCAAAGCCATTAACTATCAAATAGAACAGTTGTTTCTTGTAAATGTATAAATGCTAAAATGCTTTAGTTCATTAGTTTTTTTCAGTACTGTGTTTTTAAGGAAGGGCAAGGAGTAGTTATAAAACTATACTTAGTGATACTGAAAACAGCAGTAGGTAAACAATTATTCTTCTATGGTTATGAAGAGTCTCACTTGATTTACTAAGCTATTAGAAATTACTGTAATTCCGTTTTATTTGTATTAGCTGCAAAAAAGGTAAAAAGGTTTCCTAGTACCAATTAGTTTGAGTTTCAAAAGTGGTTTTCTTTCTTTTTTTGCATGTACTTCATCTCATGTGATAGTTCAACAGCAGCTTATGATGAGACTGAAGGAAGAAAATACACAGAAGTCTTGAGTGGTCTTCTAAAAAAAATGCCTATTCCACATATGCCACAAAACATCCTGGTAAGGTATTTACATAATTACATGGGTGATGTTTCACCATAGTGGAAATGTTATTCATCTGAGTTGTGAATGCCCTTGAAACACAAATTGGACTGTCCATGGCCTTTTCCTTTATCCACTCACCTATCAGAACAGCAGATGGTACTGAGATGCTATGGAAGTGCTTAAAAGCTGGTTTCTAAATGTCTTCTTGTTTCACAAATCCGGGTGAGATCTTTGCGTCCCTTGTGGGGACACTTAGGATTGCAAGTCTCGACCATCTATGTTAAAGTGGTTTTCCTTAGAGAGTCAAAAATCCATGAGTTATGTGTTGAGATTCTCTTTCTTTCTTTCTTTCTTTCTTTCTTTCTTTCTTTCTTTCTTTCTTTCTTGTCTCGCACCCCTCAAAAGATGTCCACTACTTCCTTCGGGAATTACAGGAAACTGTCCTCAACCAGTTCTGAGGAATCCATTCCAATGTCATCGATGATGTCAATATCCTCAATGGTCTCGTCCTCTCGCTTTACGAATGTGGAGCTGCTGGAACCAGTTTCGATGGCACTTTCTTCAGAAGTCTGGGAACTGTGTAAGAAGACCACAGGGGAAAACATTTAGGAACTTAAAAACACACTGTGAAGAACGCATTCTTCAATTGTCTTGGGGCAACAGAAATCCTCCTTAGGAATTCATCAGAAGGCACATGCCACATAATTTTGGAGTCCAAAAGAAAAGTTCCCCAAAGAGACTCACTCTTACATGAAATGCTTTAATGCTACAGTTTTTCCAGCTCTCTATCTTTGGGGAAACTTCTCCACATCAGCTTGCTTGCTGAGGAATCCGTTTGCTTTTGTCACAGAACCACTGCTCATTGCAGAGGATTCTGGGAGCATATCCCAGGTAGCACATTAAATTCATGCAGGTCAGCCTTGCTGAGCTTCACCATTACCATGTGTGGGACTAAAGGGAGTTCTAGCACAGGTCTACACCTGATGACAAATCTCAGGAAACAAGGGGTGAATAGAGCACGAAGCTCCCCAAATCATTAATCTGAGGAAGCGTGAGAGTAGTAAAATACTATCTGGACTCCACCACTTGCTGGACAGTACTGAAGATCAGATCATCCACTAGTTCTGTGCACATAATGATAAATTATAATGGTAAAAAGCTGCCTATATTCAGCACTGAAATCATGAATCAAGGACAAATTACTTAATACGTTTTAAATCAATATTCTGGGTATGCTGCCTCGAGTGGGAAATTTGTGGGGCTTCTTCTTTGCAATAGTACGTGATCTGCATTTCCCAGGCTACTGTCAATGCGGTTATCCTTCAGAGTTCACACTTCTCTGAATTTTGCAGAGTTCTTGGCTCAACCAAGGGTACCAAAATGGTCAACAAAAATGTTGACATTTTACTATAAAAAAGTACATTTAGAAATGCATACTTTGAAGAAAAAATACATCTAGGCTTCAGTCCAGACTCCTAGTCTGCTGTGGGTGGGTGGGATTACGTAGGTGGGGCAGGGATCTTACCAGTTCCATCAGCAGAGTGGTGCCAGCAAGAATCCTCTGGCACAGAGCTCCCAGTTCCACTTGTGCCAAACTTGTGAGCAGGTGGAAACATAGTCAGAAGGATTCCTACCATTGATAACACCGGAAGACCCAAACTGGGCACTCAGGGAGCAGAGAGGGACAGATCACAAGACAGTCCCACTGCAGTCACTGGCATTGCATAGCTCTCCTCCATCTTCTGCCCCAACTGGCATTTGGGGTGACAAATGTGATGCTGACTACACTGCTCTGTCATGCTTTGTGGGAAACCGTTATTTAAATATGTACGTTGTTGTAGATATTCTTTTAAGTTGCAGATCAATGTGAAAACAGTGACAGACATAAAATTAATAATGGCACAGAAAGAGACTGATCCATCCAGCCCTAGTGGTTAATGATGTCAGGATTTAGGTCACAGCGAACTTTAATCAGGTGTACCTGTGCCTGTTCCTTTTGCTGAGCTCGTCTTCTGAAACAGGGTCAATATCCGGCAGGGGGATTATGTAGCCACTGTCGGCGCTGAGTCTTTGTTCATCAAATCCACTCTCCCTGTCCTTCAGTTTGTCTTCATTCTTGTAAGTGACTCCAATGTAGGTGTTGTCACAGTCTGCTCTCATGCGTGTGACAGCAGGATGGTCACTCTTTAAGAAGTCCAAGTGAATTCTCTCATAGCTCTGAAATATATATATATAACAAAATTGGTTGGAATTGTTTAAGGCTCTCCATCCCATACTCCCACAAAATAGGATCTTTATAAATCTCTATAGAACCTGGCATGATTTCCTTTCAATGATTTTTTTGCACATGAGTAGTGTTTTGTGTCACATGGGGTCAGAAGCATCTTTTAAGGCAGTGGGGTGGGACTTCTGACCTTCGTGAGCCTAATTAAGGCCCTCTCCATTTGTCCTCTGGCATGGTTAGGCCCAAACCACACCCACCTGTCCTGACATCACATGACATCAGGTGCAGGACAGAGAAAGCTACAGGGCCAAACTGAAAAGAAAGGGAATAGGACTGACAATTTGTCACCCTCTTAGGCTACCTTCAAAATCTGCTGCTTGAGATAGGTCAAGCATCAAATAGGATATTATGGTGGGGTTTTCTGTCTCCACATTTTCACCATTCTCTGCAGTGTCATCATGAAACAACATTTTATTTACCCCACTTAAGAGCCAAGAGTCAATGGCACAACCAAGCAATGTCTTCTTCTGAAATCCTAGAAGCAACCCAGTTTCCAAAAGGACAAACCTTCTTGTATTCTCCAGGCAACAGGTTCTCAACTATTTCGCTCAAGTGGTAAAAAGAAGGTCTTTTCTCGGGTTCACTGTTCCAGCATTTCACCATGATGTCATACCTGTGAACAGTATTGAGGCGGGAGGGAATAGCTTAATGATTTGTGACGTTTAAGCAAATTGATGACAGTATAAAGACAGACATAATGAAGGGGAAGAGAGTCATAGAGGAAGCCTAGCTTTGCAGGTGCCGTGACAAATGTGCAAACTGATGAACTGGGGATTGGCTCAGCCATCAGTCTTGCTCCGTTCCCCATGCTTCAGGTGGGCTGTCTATCCTTTTTTACTCTTAAAAGTGCCACATGACCAACCATGCATTTATCTGCATGCTTGTCACATTGCTTTAGAAAGGAAACTTCTTTTCAAGTGTTGTTGTTTTTTGAGTGATGTTGTGGCATGATCTTGGGGTCCAATGCTGGAGATTCAGAAGAAGTTTTGGAATGGTAAATAGACTTGCCTCATGTCCCCATTGCCAAGGAATATCTGAGCTGGAGCCCATGCCTTCAACATTTCTCTAGCCTGAGGAGGCTGGGTTGCCATCTGTAAGCTCTGATTACTCCAGCCCAGAAGCCTTAGCAGAACCCATTGCCTCCCCGGTGTCACCAGAATCGACAGCTTCTGAAGCTGGCTAAGCCCTTCAAACCCAATGGAGCTAGTTACTCAAATATTTAAATCTCGGTCTGTATTTGCTTGCCATTGAAGCCATGTTTGAGCCTTCTCCTATGTCCCTGGTCTTCCCTCACCAGAAGAGTTTGGGTATTGCTTCACCAGAACCAAATCTATGGGACCCTCCAGATGTAGTTAGACACCGTCAGACCCAGCCAGTATGGTCAACGGTCAGAGCAGCCTCTGCAGAGCCACATATACTCCACTCCTGCCTTAATGGAACCTGACCTCTGTTTGACATTGCCTAAAACTTGTCCTCCTAGTTGTTGCCTTACCAGAACCTGAATTTGGATGTGCTTGAGTTTGCCTTGCTTCCCTTTTATGGAAGCCTAGCATCTGACCACCCTGCTCAGGCTAGATCCCCATCTGGCTGAGACGCATTGTAGGAGGAAAGTTAATCAGCATCATACACAACCAGGTTCTGATGCAAACTTGAAGGCTGTGCCTCCCTGCTTCCCAAGTTAAACCTGGAGAGGTTTAGGTATGTTTGGATTGAATGCTGTGAGGGCGCTTCTAGATCAGTCCAAGTGCTCTGTACATAATTTCCCTGAGGTGTTGTAGAAGAATGAGACGAAAAGAATACGTACACCTCACTGGTAGCATGGTCCGGTTTTGCCATTCGGTAGCCACTTTTAATTTTATTATAGAACATAGAATCAACCATCATGCCAGGATATGGAGTCCCACCTGAAAGTCAAGGGGAAATAGATGTCGTTATAATGTTTGTTGAAGTAAAATAAATTCTATGCATGGATTCGTTTTTCGAATGTTTAGGACCATATAGAACCTTTCAAGATTTTCTGAGAACTGCATGTTCCTCAAACCTTCTAGAATATTCTCAGTCAAGCTTTCAGATGTACATAAGGGTGAGGCAGCCAGCCAGTCAGTCAGTCAGTCAGTGAGATGTAAGAATTAAGTACAGTAAGCCTGCAACCTACGTGGGGGTTACTTTTCAGGATCACCTTAAACAGCAGGGATAAATCATGTTTGCAAACCATGCATCCAAGTTATAAAATGGGGCTACAAATGTAATTAAAAAAACAATACTGAACAAATGGGGGCACCAAACCTATTATTCTCCTATGGTGAAATTTGGTTTAAGCCAAGACCTGCCCTTAAACATCTCTTAGAAGAAACATTGTCTAGTGGGGGAATTATATCATTTGTAGTTTGGATAAGAATCAGGATATGCAAGGTATCATCTAGTCAGGAGAACATGGTGTTCCTTTCTGCCTCATTAGGGATATGACCTTCTGCTTTTCTATATGTATCTTTGTAGTCAGTCTTCTCGTTGGATTTAAACATTTTGAAGGGGTTCGACCAGCCTCTAGCCACATGCCTACACAGCACAATTGGCAAATCTCCAGTTATTCATTGAAGTTCCATTCTTTTATGTTCCAAAGTAATGAGGATGCCTACCAAGAGAAAATATTTCCCACAGCAGAATGCCATAAGACCAGACATCACTTAATGTTGTATACAGGTTGTCAAAAATGCTTTCAGGTGCCATCCATTTCACTGGAAGGAAAGTCTGCAAAAATACAAAAAATCAGTAAGAGTAGTTACTAAAACAATCATAAAAGGAGATGTTCACCAATAAATATATTTTAATTTGATTTTTAGCATATCTCAAAAGCTTGGGATGGGTGACAACATTTAAAAAATCCATGGAGATATTAAAATGCATCCTACATTGTCCCTGGCCACCCAAACACAACTGAGACTTTAAAATGGTTTACAGTACCACATATCAATAGTATTGTCTGAAGAGGTGATACAATTTCCCATATTTTGGTTTTATTCAAATAATTTCCAATAATATTATTTAAAATAGTGTGATTATGAGCCTTGCGTGGCATTTTGTCACTATGGAGGCCAATGCAACCTATTGACTTCCACTGAATGAGTCAAATGTTGTTGTTGACTCTGAGTAGAAACTAATCCAGGAATAACTGGTTTGATAAATTTTTTTTTGCAAATACTGAAAAATGCTCCAATTGTTTTGAGAAAACTTGTATGAGATGGGCAAGTAAGTGGGGGCGGGGAGAGATATATATCATCAATCTATATGCTTCTTATGCTATAGTAAATGTGAAGTCCTGTGCAAATCTTGCCCATTCTAATTGCAGCTCTGACAAGACACACCATACATTACTATAATTTGCCTGCAGAGAAGGAAGGGAATTCTGTGCAGCAAAATTCAACTGTTCTGTAATGTGTAAAGAGTGCTTTGATGCTGGTTGTGTTTGGCATGAATAGGTTGATTGGAGACACTGGATGGGTGTTTGTTATCTGAATGTCAGTTAATTTCATTTTACACACACACACACACACACACACACACACACACCACAAGATCCCAAAGCACTGCTTGCATTAGTTTATGGTTTCTAATGATGTAGTCTAAGGTAATAAATGTAAAGGTACATACACTGCCTTTAGACACATAGTTTGAATCATGCATGATGTCTCTAGCCAGACCAAAGTCACAGATCTTCACAATTTTTCCTTGAGCCAGAAGGACATTCCGTGCTGCCAAATCACGATGAACACACTGTGGGATGCATAAATTACATGAGTAGAATGTAGGCATAGAATACGAATACGTAATATTTCATGTTGGAAGGAACTTCAGAAAGCATGTGTAAGAAAAAAAGATTAATTGGGATACCCTGGGATAGATTCATTCAGTATTGCAACCCTAAAACTCTAAACCCTAAAACTTTGTAGGCTGCTCTTTTATCAAACACATTTTCAAAGTTCCCCAAACAAAACAAACATCGTTTAAAGCTAGGCAATCCCTTCACTGTTTCCTTTTAGACACTTACATTTTTAGAAGCTAAGAATTCCATTCCCCGTGCAACTTGGTAAGTGAAGCTGAGCAGGTCCAACAAAGTGAGGCCTTCTGAATTGTCATCGGAGAGGAGGTTCTTCACATCTAGTTCTGAGTAGGGAAGATGAAAAGAAAATACCATCTGAAACATGAAGGTGCATTGAAAGCATACATCAAACAGGCAATCTGCTTCAGTCCATCATCTTTCCAGAACATATCTGTTTGCAAGGAACTCACCTGAACTGAGGAAAAGTTTGTTTTTAAACTATGCAGAGCAAGGGCAGCCATTGTAGTGCCATCCAGATATTGCTGAACTACAGTTTCCATCAGCCAGTGGTCAAGGATGATAGGAGCTGAAGTCCAGCAACATCTGGAGGGCATCATACTGTCCACCCCTGACATCAGAGAATAAACAGATAGTGTATTTTCTAGCTGTCTTCCTACACATAGCCAGTGGCATTCTTCTCCGCTTTCCCTGGTACCAGCACTCCAACATCTCCTTCCAAAACATTTCTTCAAAACAAGTGGCTCACTTGTACATTTGCATCAATCAGCGATAGACACTGCCGTAAAAAAAATGGTACAAATACCAAATATAGCTGTCCTTTCTCCGCTGATTATAGACTTTTTCCAAGAAATTGTAGGATTAAAAAAGTGCCACCTACATATTATACAGCTTGTTTTTGTACTTTATTCCAGTTGTGGTTTATACCCAAAGCAATGATTTAGAGATGGCATAGTCTTGTCAACTTTTTATATATATATATCCATTTTTGTCTCTTCTAGCCCTGCAGAATTCTCAAGTTCCTTGGTTAACTATTTGATGGGGACCATTCAATGCCATCCAAAGACCAGTGATTCTATGGGCAGTTATCCTTATTTTTGTCCTGGGAAATGATGGCAGCAAACTGTCTAAAACCTAGCTATTCAATTACCCTGTTGGCTCAGTGAAATACAAGAGTTGACTAGCCTCTTAAGCCTGGGTCTGGAAAAGATTCAGGTTCTGAGACCACAAGCCAGGAGTGACCCAACCTGTTTTGAATGCCGCAGATCAGATTTCTTAGTCAAAGGACAGTAAAAGGGATGAGTTAGCCATATGGGCCTTTCCTAACCCTCAATTTAATACTCTACAAATCATTTGGGAGTGTTCTATATGAGGGCAGTGAGGCTGCTGGAAATGAATCCCTAACAAATAGCCCAGCCAAATGGCTCAAAATTCTGCTGAATCCAGAAAGGTATCAAAGCTACTACAAGTGCCACGTATGACACTGGCTGTTTACTAGCTATAATAATAATAATTTGGTACCATTCCGCCGACCAACTTCCTTCACATCTGCAAGAATGGTCATTATGGTGCTGCGTGGTGGTGGCAAGGTGAAAGGAGCAGTCTACTTTCAGAGGATCTCTGAATTCCTGCAGCGTTTTTATTTAGGGATCTTCACCAATGTTTTTGCACACAGGTGCAGCGAACCTACTGCCTCCCTCTACCTCTTAAGGAAGCAATAGCAACTTAACCAACTGGAGGTCGAGTAGGCCCTGCTGCGCTGCCCTGTCATCCACTCCCACAACTTAGATATAGGCCCATTCATTGATTCCACTTGCAGAAACCCATAGTTCAAGTTTTCTTCTCCTTGTAAAACCTATCTTCTTTCAGGTTTTCAAGTATATTTGGCAAGGTGAGTTGCATTGCTGGGTGTGAGTCCCAAGGGGCCCACAACTAGGGCCAGGCAAATATATCAATTTTGATTTCTCATTTTTTCAATTCCACATCAGTTTGTGATTCTTTTTTGCAAAGGGCCTCATGAAAATCCATCAACATTTAAGTGCAAATTTATCCCAATATTCACATTTTTTAATGAAATCTTGCCCAATATACATAATTTTTGCATAGCTGTTCTCCATAACATAATGCATTGTTTATGTTATTTTCAGTAATATATGCATTTATATGCACATTTTACCCCAGTACATGCATTACTTGGTGGGAGAAGTGCACTGCAAAATTCAGTGTGAATTTGGAAGGTTGGCTGTGTTTGTTATTGTACTTATCCTAAACTTAATCTAATGCAGTGTTTATAAAAAATATTGTTAAAATACAATAACAATCATGTAACGTTTATAAGGTTTTTATTTTTTTTATTTTTTACACGGGTGTATCTTAACAATTTCCCCCCATGTTTTATCTTACCTTGTGAACTTGTAATTTTATACTGGGTACAAAATCCACCTTTCAACGTGAACCAAATCAAATATCTCCTCCATCACTACCCACAACAACTCAGTTTACTTTTGGACTCTGCTTATTTAGAATAATGGAAATAATAATCTAATGATTTATTTTCTGTGTCAAAGTTTTCAGTTTTGAGGAACCAAAGCAAAGTCTGAATAAAGACGCCTTTCGCAACAAGATAAACGTGAGCTACAATTTTATGCAAGAGGAATCAATAAAATAGCAGTACCGGCTAAATGCAGTTGTCACAGAAACATTACAAGGGCATTCTACTTCAAGAGGATGTATTTATTTTTATTTATTTATTTCCTCCCCCTGCCCCTCTGTCCTGTCTTTCAGGGCAAAGCTTCCCCAGGGGAGCTCACATACACAGTAAAAGCATAAAAACAGAAACACCTCATTACAATAGAACTAAATCAGCAGCCTAAAATATGGCATGGACTAGCTCCACACTCCCATAAAAAAATCAGTGAAGAGGGAAACAATGTAAAAACTAGCAGCAGGAAACCATTAAATAATCAAACTCAGCTCAGCATCTCACTGAAAAAGCAGATAAAAATAAGTGGTGTATCACATGGGAAGCCTTTCATGACTACTTGGGATTAAGGCAGAATATTAGCCTTATATTAAAAATGCACCTTAACTTACCCGACACATATTTTTTCTTATACGAAGCAGGCCTATCATACAATGACCTTTGGATGTCAGAATATTTCGATCTGTCTTTCCTTTCTAGCATCGGCACATACTGCATGGTCTCTGCTTGTTTCATATCCATATATTCACCATTGTTTTCAAAGGATAGGATTACATAGCTGGAATGAAAGCGCAACAGCAACAAAGAGAAATAAGTTTATGGTGGGGATTTGTGCCACATTCATCTCTACTCACAAAACAGAGTAGATATACAGTCGTACCTTGGATCTCAAATGCCTTGGCTCCCGAACAAATCGGCTCCCGAACGATCGAAATCCGGAAGTGAGTGTTCCGGTTTTCGAACGTTCTTTGGAAAGCTGAATGTCCGACAGGGCTTACGGGGCTTCCAATTGGCTGCAGGAGCTTCCTGCAGCCAATCAGAAGTTGCGCTTAGGTTTTGGAAGTCGAATGGACTTCCGGAATGGATTCCGTTCAACTTCCAAGGTACGACAGTAGCTATAATATGATCCTTTCCCTCAAAATTAAGAATGACCTGAAATTTCTCAGAAAAGAAATTTCTATCAAATTTAAAAACTTTCCCAGTAGTATTCGACTAAGTTTTGATCAGAGTGGACCCACTGAAATTCACGAGTAAGTTAGGTCCCTTAATTTCAACCGTTCTCTTCTTAGTTGAATAGCACTCTTTGGTTTTTTTTGAGCTTCCCCTGAATTGTTGGAGAATTTCAGTCTTTCTTTCTTTTGGTGGAAAAGGCAAATTTTGCCACCCATGAATTCTGAGTGCAAAGGTGGATCTACTTTAATACTCTTGTCAGGAAATTGGTATTTACTCAGAGCAGACCTACTGAAATTAATTGACCTCAATTCGCCATATTAGTTAATTTCAATAGGTCTGTTATGAGTAAAATTTAGTTGAATACTAAGTGGGTTCGATGTCTATACCTTCCAGTTCTCCTCAGCCCATTTCATCCTCCAACATGAACCCACAATAGTGTTTCATTCAACATTAAACAAACCAACATTTTCCAGGGGGAGGGAATTCTGAGAACAACTGCTGGACAATTTCACTGCCCCCCCATTAATATTTGGCAAAATGCCCCCCCCCCAATTTCACATCAGATTCAACTTTTTTGCCATCACAAAAGGTACATGACCTACTGCGCCCCACTTCCCAATTCTATGCAACTTACCCAAAGAAAGAACCATTTCCAGACCTGAAAAATAAACCCTACCTCCTAGTACTTTCATCAGCTGAGTTCATCCCAAAGATGTCCAGGTCCTTCTTGGGCTTTTCAGGATGTCGATTCAGATAGTTGTCCCTGTTTTTATGCAGGTAGTTCACCAAGTCTCCATAAAAGCAATATTCTGTTATGATGTAAATTGGACCTGATGGAGGTGGGATAAAAAGGGCAAAAAAATGAATCAAAATGCTTAGCTTCTTGCCAGGGTCATCTCCACAGGTTGGTGAGGTCTAAAATCAGCAAGAAACTCACTCTCCCACTGTCTCAGAGATGGCCTGAGAGAATTCCTGGGATGCATGCCTCACCTTTTGAGATTAAAGCAGGCTGTTGAGGGTCCTTGCCTGAGGACCCTCCAAATCCTGGAGCCAGGAAATGCATTTTAATTAATTCCCAGCTATGGTCTGAGCTTTCCTGCATTGACACCTATAAAACCCTGTCCTGAAGTGTTGACAATCTGAATAAGGCCTTTGCAATTCATGGCCCATCAGCTGTAAATTGTGACACGCCAGATGCACAAGAACCCTGCTGTTTTTAAGGTCCAGGTGGGCTTCCATCAAGGGCTAAACATTCTGTGTTTGGCTTGGTGGGTCACAGATTGTGTAGGCCTGATAACCTAGATGCTATGATGGCTACAGCAGGCAGATGTTTATACGATGTGGGCAAATAAGTATAGATCAATTATGGTGGAATGACTCTCAGCAGCCATCTAGTCTAGTAGCTACCTTTTGACCTGGCAAATTATGGAGTCTGCCTCCCTGTCTGAATACTAGGTCAGTGAGATCAAGCAAACAGAACATCAAGGAGCCGCTCAGTTCCTTATTTCAATGGTGTAAGAAGACTCTTAACCAAACCTACCGGACTTCGTACAAGCTCCTAACAAGTTCACTATGTTCAAGTGGGGACCAAGATGGGTCATTATCTTTAATTCAGACATAAGAGCCTGCTTTTCGCTGGATCTCGCAGTGGCTGTTTGGAAAAATGAATAGAGCAGCTAATTAGAATTTGCATTGAACAGATAAGATACAAATGATAATAAAGTGATAAGATAATACATAATTACAGTAACATGCTGTTAATTATGATCTTATGATCGGGTTTTTGTGAGGAAAAAGTATTGTCAGGGGTAAAAGCTGCCGGGAAATAAAATAATTATACATAGACAGTAGAACCTACGGATCTTGTACTCAGTTCAATGAGACTTACTCTCAGGTAAATGAGTATAGTGTTGCAGCCTAAAATGATTGGTTTCTCAACTAGAAGGCATGTATTGTATAACAAACAAACAATGGTGCACTTGTATGATGAGGATTCATTTTTAATTCATCAAACTGGGTCAATTTCTGAATCAGCTTATGTTAACATGAGCCTAATTTCAAGATAAACCAATTTGAACTTGCTTTGGTTCAGTCTGGTTTGGTTTAATTGGCACCATTTTATGCCAGTTTCACATTTTTTAAGTTACAGATTGTTCTCTGTTCTGCTACTACCCGTGTCAAACATTGCAACATCGGGGTTTCGTTAAAATGTTATGGGGTTGGGAGGAACAGCACAGAAACTCAAAATTGCACTGAACGCTAATTTTATTTAATTTTGTTTCTATCAAAGCTCCTGTGTCTTCCTTAGCCAGAGTGCACAGCAGCAGCCCACAACAAACCCTTCCATTTATTTATAGGATTCACTTGCACAAGAAGTGGGCACAGATAGTGAAACATGTTAGTTGACATTTCTTTAAGTTAATAGTAAATAAGTAAAAGGCTTAAGAACATGAGAAGAGCTCTGTTGGATCAAACTAAAGGCCTATCTAGACCATGATCCTGTTTCTCACAGTACTGTAGCTACGGGGGGAGGGGTTTTTTTTGCCCCGGGTGAAGCCTCCAGAGGGACACCATTGAGGTTCCCATCCTGTGTGTATGTGTGTGTGTACACAAAAGTGTGTGAGGGTGATGCCCAACTGGGTCTTTGACCCAGGTGAAATAAAGCTTAGTTTCACCCCTGGTCAACCACATGCCTTTGTGAAACCTCTGCACTCTCCTGTCCTTGAGCTCCAGAATCTGATATCTGGAGACTTACTGCTGGGATCGTCAAGGTGGCATACAGCCACCATGAGTAGTAGCTTGTATTCTGGTCCTATAAAGGCATACCTTTGAAGCAGACCCATTGGCTTTATCACCGGCAACTTCTAGCATTATGGTCTCTGACGATCACAGCTTCTGATGATTCTAAGCATCGTGGACAAGTTCCAAAGGAACTGTGCATGTGTGTATAAGTAAGTCGTGCATGAAGACAGAAGTATGCTTTGTAGTCTTAACTGAGTTTGCCTCCCACAGTGAAGGGAAGCTTCTGATCACTTGTTATGGGAGTTTCAAGACAGTGACACCCACTCCAGTAGCACGCATGACTTTCTTACAAATGCCTCAGGGGGTGCTTTGAATTCTACCCATTCACTTTGGGGTTAGTTCTGTTGAAATCAATTGAATCTACTTCCATTCCAAGCAAATAAGCTCAGAACTGAAGCATTGCTTTGAAGCAATGAATAACATTATCATGCTAAGTATTGCAGAATATGTCAAGGGCAAGGGAACCAGCAGTCCTTCAGATTCTGCTGCACATCTCATAGTTCCTGATGGGAGTTGGAATCCAACAACAGATGGAGGGCAACTGGTTCTTTGGTCATGGAATGTTTAATCAGCCCAAGGCCTGGTTACTGAGTAATGTTATCACCTGGTGCCAAAAGATATGTAATGAAGGCACCAGCTGAGCCTCACTGAGGAGAGCATTCTGCAACTGGGAAGCCACTGAGGAAAAGGCCTGTTCTCATGTCCTCCAGACATCTCATGGAGGGGACCACTCAAAGAAGGGTCTCATATGATGCTTTCAGGCTGACCAAAACAGTTTCTGTGCCAGAACCGGGCCTAAACCAGGTCTACACAACACTTGATTGTAGTAAAACGTCCACGTCATTTACAAGAAATATTAAAATTATCAATAAAACAGTTTTTAAAAAACCATTACAAGTGTTTAAAATATTAAAGCACATCAACATGAGCATGTTTGGGTAGGCTTCCCTAAACAAAAATGTTTTAAGCAGGTGCCAAAAAGTATACAATGAAATGTCATTAGGAAGGGAGCTCCAAAGTGCTACCACACTAAAATATCAATTTCTCACAGCTACGGAATGTGGTACATTTCACAGTGCCATCTCCACAGATTGAAGCAGCGGAATGGGCACAGTGGCAATAAAGGCATAAAAGCAGACACAACTTGATGGAATCAAAAGCATCCAGAAGGAAAACTGTCATGGTAAATATCATGCCCGTTAATTTTGCTTTTAAGTTCTAATTCAGCCATTCTCACGATTTGAGATGAGCCAGAGAGATGGATTGGAGTACTTACAACCTGAAGAAACACTTACGCTTCAACATTTTCACAGCCACCTTCATCACAGGCTGTGACCGGCTTAATCCATAAGCAGTTCCTTCAACTACTTTCCCAAAAGCTCCAGAGCCAAGGATTCGTCCTGTAAACAACAGAGTGTTGCTAATTACTGAGAGGCAACCTATCATATCTTATTTCACAGCTTCTAGCATTCTTGAGATCCTGCTGCTGGCATGCATTTGAGAGTGGGAGGCCTGTGTTCCTTTGTCCATCTGATTTCTAAAAACCCATTAACACATGATGAGCCAGTTCCTCCAACTGAATGAATGGGAGATACCTACTCACATGAGAAATCTGAGCATGTATCAGAGTTCTGACACCCATTTCTTAGACTGAACGCATTTCTTCTACAGCCTTACAACATCATGATTCCAAGACGACTCCATTGACATTAATAGCATTGTTCTAGAGTAAATCATTTATAAGGAAACAGCTTTGGTCAGTCAAATGCAGTTTGGTTTATCTCATCCCAGCAATATGGCATTGAATGCTTTGCTTAAACTGCGCTACATTTGAGTCTTCAGAGCAGTGGTTTTCAAAACATGTCCCAAGAAATGAAGCAGATCAGGGATCCCTCAATGAGGAGATTAGTCTAACAGTCTATAACAAAGACATGGTAGCACCCTGAACAGCTACAAATTCCAGTTAGCTGACAATTCAGTCTGGCTGAAAACATAGAAGTTTAAACTGATTTCGTAAGACTTTGTATTTGCAAGAAAGATCTGTCCTAGAAGTTTCTACAGGGTCCTCAACACCTCCAGTTTCATTTAAAAGGGCAAGTTTATGCACCTCATGGTTACAGAGAAACCTCTGAAAATAGGTGGACAGCTTTTTCAGACTGACAGATTGGGGCTCTCTCACTTAGCAAAAGTTGTGGTCCTTCTCAATTATTATACCACCTGCAACCCATTTCCCCTTCTGGCTTTCTGTGTTCCATGAAAACTTTAATCAGTCTCAACACTAGTCCCAGACTTGTACGGCCAAATGAGATTATGGGAATTATTAAAACTGTCCAGTGTGCATGTATACTCAAGGCTCTTCAAACCTGTGTCACAATTCAGGGATTTTAATGCAACCGTTGGAACCTGTGTGAAAATTCAGAGAAGATTTGGAGAGAAGCTTCACCTAATATTTCCCCCATTGAAGTGCAAGCATGGTCAGGTCCATTTCTGAAAATCCCACAAGGAAGTTCTCGCAGTTCAACAAAACTTTGATCTGGCTTCTTGTGATATATCCAGGATGAAGAAAGCTTCCTATAACATGTCAAACCCACACCAACATGTTGAGCTTCCACCAAACCCCCAAAGGCCTTTTGTGACTCGAGGTCTGTGGACCACATGGCAGGATGCAGCCTCTCATAAACATTTGCTGGTGTGGCTCAATCTAGTCATCATCCAGTGCCCACTCGACTCAGTGTCATGGCTGTATATATATTCAACATGAGAAAAACTTCCTGCTCTGCCCACACCTCTGCTCCGTATGTGTAGGGTAGGTGGGAGAACTTCCTGGATGTCAGGGATTTATTAGTAGGTCTCCTGTTTGCACTCATGCGCATTCATTTGGATAAAAGACTTGTTTACCAGGTGTTTACAACATGAATGTCTGGAATCAGATGATTCCATCCACAGCTTGTCTCTGCAGACCACAGTTTATCTTTTTGAGGTGAAACCCCTCTGCACACGGTGACAGGCACTGTTTTGCATGTCCCATGGCTGAACTCCTAGCACTGAAAGCCAGTTCCAGGGCTGGCCTCTGGTGATGCCTGGCTAGGATGAAACCAACCTTCTTCATATGCATAACTCATAATTAACCACGAGTGTTCCTCTACCCTCAATAGTTTGAGCATGACCCATGATCCTCAGAAAGGATTTATTGGAACATCAGGAGCAAGAATGACAAACAGGAGCACTTGGCCCAGTATATATACCTTAAGCTGACCCAGGCAAAACACACACACCACCTGTGATAGATCGCCTTAATGCTGCAATTAGCAAATCACAACACTGGCCCTATCTCAGCAGGGGTTGGCTCCTGCCAGCTACTAACAATGTCATTGATGGGTTTTAGAACCCTCTCTGTCTTTTGTTATGCAGATGAAGCTCCTGAGCTCCAGGAGACCTGACCGCCTAGGCCTGCACTGCATGCATACAGCCTGGCTTTGGCCCACAATGCCTGCATATACAACACACTGTAAGCAAATTAGAGGTTGAAACAAAGTTAAAGGGTTGAAAGAAATCAATTGGTTGTGACTTTTCAGTAACTGACCATGTCATACTGTCCAACTTTTGCGGATCCGAAACTGGGACCCATGTCTTCGGGGACACACTTCTAGACAAGTTGCATTGCCTGTGTCACACTCTAGCCCCCCCCCCCAGCACCTTTTGGCGACTAGACACAGCCCGACAGCATGCAAGATCACAGCACCCAAAATGTCCACTGCAGTGTGGACTGCTCCTGTTCAGGGTTCCAGCCAGCTGTGCCCTTATGCAGAATAGGCCATTCTGTTCTCACTTCAGCTGTCAGCTGTATTCTGTGGCCACTGAACATCCTTAGTTTTGCACTGGGCCATTTTTTTTGGTTCCCCCACAAATCTGGGTTTTCTTCCCGCACTTCTGCCAAACTTGGGGCTCTCCCAAGCCTGCTGATAGCTCCCTCTTGCACATGGATGGTGCCATTTTGGCTACATTAAGGATTTGCATGCAGAGAAGGAGCTTGCTATTAGCCGCACAGTCAAAGCATTTCCTTTCTCAATGGTTATGCAACATTGCTAACAATGATACTAACATTCTACATGAAATGAATGCTGCTATCTCTGTAGCATCAAGAGGCTCTTACCTAGTACTAATCCATCTCGTGGAAATTCCCATCTTGAGTCATATGGCAGCTGCATAGGGTCCACATAAATGTATTCATGTCCATCCGGGCTGATGGACTCGATGACTCTCCATCTTATTTCATATCTTGGTTTCTGCAGCGCACAAGGAATGGAACGGAGCATGTTAAACTCATCCCTACTGAACACGTGAATGGAGACAGTTTTAAAGAAGTGTGTTTCTACATTACCTGCTTCCATATGATTACCAGGACAATCAGCGAAATTATTACAATTACGAGCAACACTAGGACTGCAGCAGCCACCGTCAATTCTGATCGTAAAGCTGTAGGAGAAAGGAAATGTATAGTTCAGGTTTTTTCTCTCTCACCGGTAGGAGTTCACTTTCAAAAGCAGTCACGGTGGCCATGATCCCAGGCTGGCCTGGGACAGTACAGTAAATTGTGCTTCTTCCTCATTCAAGGTGTGTAGTATCCAAGTCTGGCCTGGTTATTTTGGCATAACAGGCAGAAAATTCCATAGAATTAAGCATGAGCAGTGAAGTGCAACCCTACGCATGCTTACTCAAAAGTAAGTCCAGCTGTGTTCAATGGGATTTCCTTATACACAGTTATCTCAAAGTAAATCCCTTTCAACTCAATGGACTTCTGATAAATCAGTTTTGTGCATGCCTTAAGTCTTTCCCACTGAAATAAAAGGAAATTAAAACTCCTTAACTCTAGCTGAATTATGCCCTCCTTTTGATTTGTATGCATCCATCTTTTAATTACCAGTTGCTGTTTCCTGTCTTCCTTGAGATTAAAGATCCATATGATACCACTATTTCCTCTGTAAATTCTTCTCACACACCCTTTCTTTGTGGGTTCAGCTATAGTTAAGCTGGAGGGAGGCATAAGTGTGTTGGAGAAGAGAAAGCTCCATATTTCACACAACTCTCCATCAACTCCTGTTTTCAATATTCTAAGAATTATTTAAGCAAATACAGGTTCGTCCCACTCAGGATATTAATATACATAACATTATACTTACATATACTGAATAGGCATGTTCTTTAAATGGGTAGGACTTCTTCCTTTGAAATATATTGTCATATGAGTATTTTAATTTTTTGTTCATTGCTGCTTTTACCTGATTTTAATGCCCTTTTGTTTTATTTTTACTGTGCTAGTCGCTTGGAGGCCCTTGAGCGCAAAAATGCAAATAACTAAGGGGAATTATTTGGAGTGGCTTCTGTGATCTCGGGTATGGCAAAATGGAAAATATTTCTAAACAGCTTCACACCAGACAAACAATATTGCATATCTTGCCCAAGCTATCAGAATATAGATTGGAGGCACCAGGATGGTATGGTAAATGCAAAAGATGCAGTAAATCATGCATGTCTGTGGTTTTCAATATTATCTGGTTGTTAAAACAGTGGTGCAGCTAGGTAATTTTACACTCTGGACTTAATCGTCCTATCATGTGGTCTTTTAGATGGCAATGTGTATCCATTCACTTACTTTAAAAAGTGTGAAGCCGACCTCACTGCATTTGAGGAGCTTCCTGCTCATAGCAGAGTGGAGCCCTGGACTTCTGACCTAAAGTGCTGCCCTGAGGGCACCACCATGTTAAAAGGTCTGAGATCACATCCACACAGCATAAATTGTTTCATGACTCCTTGGGTCCCTTTTAAGGAGATGGAGCCAACAGCAGCTGTGCCAACCATATACAATGTTTACTCACTGGGAGCCACAAGCTTCAGTTCCCGTGACACAGTGCCGAGGTCATTCCTCGCCATACAGCGAACAGCCAGTGTTTCTTCCACCTTCCGAAAGGTCACCTGGCTTTCTACCATGTTTTTCTGATCAAGATGAGTCTCCATGGTGATATCAGAGATATTGTTTGTCAGGAAGGTCCACGAGGTGTCATTACTGCACCTGAAGAGAAGTATAGATATAAATGAAGATTGCCAAACACTTCCCTTTTATTGAGAATTGCTCAATGAGCAAACAACTTTATATACATACATCAGTGGGTAGCCAGTGTGTTGTTTTGGACTTGATCTCACATCAGCCCTAGCCAGCATGACCAATTATCAGGGATGTGGTGAAATGAACCCCTTGTATAAAGACACATTGTCTTAGAAATGTCAACTGGACACAACCAACCAAGCTTCCGATCCCATAACCTCTTGCAATCTCTCTCTCTCTCTCTCTCTCTCTCTCTCTCTCCACACACAGCATGCCCATGTGATGCCAACACAAATTCCTACGCTAACACTTTGAAACAGAACAGAAGAAGGGCACCCCGTCTCTCTCCCTCTCTCCCCTCTTTTCCTTCCACTGCAAGACGTCTATGACAAAAGTGTCTCTCACTATGTGTAAACGAACTGTAAAAAAGACTCTATGAATTGAAAGCGGAGGTGACAGATGTACTTTCCCCCATTTATTTGTCTGTCTTGTAGCACAAGAAAATCTTTCCTTGAAGAATTCGCAAGCTTTTCATGCTGATTACAGGTACCACCTTGGAAACTTCACTGGGCAATTCCAGGCTGTTGCCATGTTCAGATAGACTTCAATCATAAACCATCAAATTCAGTTGGATGGAAGGTCTTGCGCAACGAACCCACTTCCCACGACCCCAACATGCAAAAATGCACTGGAAGATGAACTATGCAACATCATTTAAACTCCCCACAAAGGAATGAGAATGAATGCTCATTAAACAAACATGATGCTCAGGGCAAACAAATGAGGATTCAGGCTCAAGAAAAGGTCGTGCCCAGTGATGATAACCAGTGGCTACAAAGCAGCTTAGAAAATATTGACGACATACAATGGATATGACCAGATTATTAGGAATCTTTACACCTGGGTGCTAGTTATGAATCATACTGCAGTAGAAGCTGGCAGCTTCCCTCCCAAAGGAAACAGCAGCTGGGGGTAATTTTGCTGGGATCCCCTCCCTGCCCATATGTTGAGATCCAGTCATCGTTGGGTAGTCACATGATTGTTGTGGTTTCTCCCCCAAATAATAATAAAAAGACACATTGAAGTCATTTAACATCACATCTCCCCACTCAGAAGACCAGCAATATACAGTAACTTGCAGCGGTTTATTATTACCTGAAATAATATCCCCTCCATCTCCAAAAATGCAAGTCCCTATGTATTATAAAGAATTTATAAGCTTATTGATCTATAATCATGTTATCCATTTATAATTACACGGATGATATTCTAAGACGGTCAGAATCAACTTTCCTTACTTTTTAATGTCCTTGCAAACCAGCCATTCCACATCAGGGAGTGGTGTCCCTTCTGCCAAGCATGTCACCGTTTGCCCCGCAGAGTCGTGATGACTATCCACCAGATCTCGAATTAAAGCTGGAACTGAAAAGGAATAATTTGGGAGGAGCGTGTCAGATCCTTACAGCACTGAAGAAATTCTGTTTATTGAAAAGAAGCGGCAGAAGCATAGTTTTGAACTCCTATCTGCCTGGCAAACTCAGTCATTCCTTGGGGAAATCTAGATTCAGACTTTCTGGAGTTCTTTGCTTGTTTTCACTAACACATGATCCCCTCCTGTATCTAGATTACCTGTACTTACTTACTGGAAGCAAGCACCATCCAACTCAGTGGGACTTACTTTTACTAAACATAGGTAAGATTAGGCTGTTAGCTGCAATCCTAAGAACACTTTCCTTGGAGTAAGTTCCACTGAATGCAGTATGACTTATTTCTGAGTAAAGATGGATAGTATTGGATCGTTCTACGGCAAAACCTTGCACACTTTCTTGAGGAAAGTCCCAATTAACTCAAGTGAATAAACATGCATAGGATCAGACGGAAGGTTAGTCTTCAGTGGGAATTACTAGTTCACTGGCTTTAATCGGGACTCATATCCTGTAGGGCCTTAGCAGGGTCCTGGCTTCAAGAGAAGAACATATGGCAGTACTTTTGGGATGTGGAATAAAGGAATCCAGGCACAACAAGGCAGCTACACAGCAAGCTGGGGGTGCACGGTCAAGAGAAGAATGAACTCTTCATTTGCTCATTTCAGAACTCCTCTTTGAGTTAAGGCTGTCAATGGGCTGAAGCATTTTTAGATTATTTCCAAGATAATTTTTCATTCTGTTACAGCAGCATATCACAACCCAAACAGCCTTTAAAAGCCCAACAGTAGCATGCCCTTAGTTCATCATCCCAGAGACCAAAATGGCTTGCACTTAGGAAGTTGACTCTCACTGATTAATCAATTGAAGCTTGAGTTGATTGATTGACTAATTTAAGCCCTGCTTTGACTGTTACTTGGATCATTCATCTTTTGCCAACCACGTGTTTTGGATAAGATGTGGATATGCTGATTTATATGTATTGATGTATGCAAATTTAGAAATAATTAACTAAAACAGAAATACACTGTGTCTTCACCATAGTGGGGAAGACAGTGACCAAGGAATTGGTGTGCCTGCTCAGTCTACTGTCCACACGCTACTGACAAGCAACACCAAGGTCCCTACTCTCCCTTCTTACGGTTCTTAGAAGCCCTTCCAATAGAGGACTGTCCTCTGCAAAGTAGGAGACATGGCCTTCCTATGAAGACTGATTCCATCTGGCTCAGTATTGTCCACGCTGACTTTTAGTGGCTCTCCAAGGTTCCAGGCAGAGGTCTTAGACGTCACCTGCTACCTGATCCTTTTATATGTAAGTGTCAGGGATTGTCCTTGAGACCTTTTGCAAGCAAAGCATGTTCTCTAACTCAGAGCTACTGTCCCAGCTATGAGAGAATGCTTTAAAGGCAGATGACATGACAGCCATTCTGCTGCTACAGCTAAGCAGATCTGGATAAGGGGCTGCTTGGGAATCATATGTAAACAGCTCAGGAGAAAAGTTACACACAAGTACGGTGCATAAATTAGGATAAGTGATTGATAGATGGGGGTGGGTGGAGTAGACATCTGTATGAACTCTTTCCAAAACTCTTCTTTCAAAACACCTCTGAGCAATGGTCGCCATGATAAGTTCTACACTAAATGCACATTTTGTGCTGTGATTCCTCATCCCTTTTATGTACCCCTTCCTCTCTCCAAATCAAATCCATGTGGAAGGGACCATTTCTGACTCTCAGCCAGGCACAGCAGATGTTTAAGTTTGTCGGCATCTGGGGCTGAACTAATCTCCAAAGTATCTTCCATGGACAGCGGCAAGCAAGCGAGTTTGTTCCTAGATAATTTGCCTTATTATTGACTCCTATTTTCAGAAGTATTATTCGTACCATATGTTGTTTCTTGCAAATGCTGGATACACAAATGGCAAGAGAATTTTCCTTCTAGGAGCAAGAACTCGATGTACAAATAATATGGCCGGGGTCACATGGAAGAAGTAACCTGGTTCTAGCCATCTAGGCTGCATTCTTAAACATTTAGGCTTGGTCTACACCAGGGCTTAGGAAACTCTGACTCTCCAGTTGCTACAGCACCCACCACCCCTGGCCATTGACCATAGTAGATAGCCACAGGTTCCCAAATGTGACCTACACAAACAGCAAATGAGGTGGCCAAACTGTTTTTGGGCCGCATCAATTCAGATAGATGGGTGGGAATCACATGACTGAATCTCACCCCACCCCCGGGGGAATAACTGCAGTTTTGCCTTTCCCCCACCATGCTTGATTTCTGTGTGCCGTGATTATTTTCCAGATGTGTGTGTGTCTCAACTTGCACTACCACCTGCAGTCTGAATGGTTCAAGCTAGGAACAATCTTATCCTCTCATCTGTTTTTGTCTGTGTACACCAGGCCTTAGGCTACCTAAATCTCCCTGAAAGTCAATGTGGTTAAACAACTGGGAGAGCACAGTTCAAATTCCTCCTCATCTGCAGAGCACACATGTTCCTCCTGCCATTTTATCATCACAACAACATCATGAGGAAGATTAGGCTGAGAAACAACTAGCCCACAGTTACCCAGCAAGCTTCACAGCTGATTCCTGGATTCCCCTCACCCGCATTTCCAAGTTTAGTTTTTCTAGCTTTCTAAACTTTCTACTAAACCCTCAGTAGTTCATATTTGCTTGTTGGCCTATGGATCAGTCTCTGTAGTGTCACTTCCACATCTACCCAACTCCTCTAGTTTTATACTGATCTTACCCATTTTACAGGTTTACCTTGTATGAGCAGGGAGAAAATATATCTTTGAGTTTCATCTTCATTCTGTGCTACAAAAGTATAATATCCACTGTCTTCTTCCTTGGCACGGATTAATTTTAACATGCTCTCGTACCTGTTGAAAGAGAACATTGTGATCATTTCCCACAAGAGGAACAGTACAAATATAAGCAAAGCAAACTGATAGCTTTGTTGGAAATCAATCTCTGTGTGTAAAAGACAGGCTTAGTATATGGTAAGGACAAATGGATCAGACTAAATTTGGCCTGTGTTAATTTCACACATTATCAATGCAAGGATAGTTCTGTCCCCTTTTTGCTTGCCTGAGAAGGTGTGTGTGTGTGATAGCTGTCAACTTTTCCCTTTTCTTGCGAGGAATCCTATTCGGAATAAGGGAATTTCCCTTTTAAAAAGGGAAACGTTGACAGCTATGGTGTGTGTGTGTGTGTGTGTGTGTGTGTGTGTGTGTAATGCTCTGAAGCAACAAATAAACAAAACAAAAACCAGAACATTTACATTTATGAGGTGATCTGATTAGTGAAGTGAAGGCCTTGCGAGGGGTATAGTAAAATTTAACAGCGGGGGGGATTCCATTTTCTTCTGCGGGCTTTTTGGAGGGAGGACTGAAAAAATGTATGAAATATTATCTCTTTCAGAATGAGATAAATGCTTTAAACCAATGTTTAATGTAAGGCAATCTACCGTGTTAAATAATATACTTTACTTCAGTAAAACTTAAGTAGATAAAACGAATGTACTATGGGAGGGGGGGAAATGTATGCTACACTTTACATGGTAATCTTCAAATTTCTCTGAATCACACCCTATTTCTCTAACAGCCTGGTTCTATGCATAGAATTGTAGCCTTATTTTATTATACCTACCTGAGAGTAAGCCCAGTGCACTTAGTGGGTTGTATACAACAGAGTTGCAAAAGCTGACAGTAAGGATTCAGACAATGGAATAGGGAAGTAAGCAATTTCCCCCTCCCCATGCAGTCCCTTGGAGGGGTGGGAGAGTCTCCGGAGCAGATATGATGATACATTCACCCATACTGTCAGCTGAGTGACATTGTTGGATGCAACCCAAGGAGACTTGGCTTTTGAGTAGACAAGGACACAACAAACTGTAAGCATGCAACCCTAGGAGTAAACCCTATTGAAGTCACCTGAAGATATGTCTGAGTAAACATGCATAGAATCATCCTGCACATCGTATAATAAATCAGAAGGAGAAGCAAGTAATAATTCTTAAAACCTGTATGAAGCCAAATAAAGGTTTGAAAAATGCGCAAAGATAGGAATAGTAGAGGAATTGGAGAACCAAGAATCTGCCAAGTGGAATTTTCATAGAGATACAGAACAGGCTGCAGATTCTCTAGACGAGAGATCAATCTGTTTCCAAGGAGATACTCTGGTTTGCAAATGGAGAACTGGACAACTAAAACCTACAAATTCCTTGGCAAGCATTTTCTTTACCTCGTCTCCTGGATCTGCTTGGACTTAGTGACAATCTCCGTGAGATTTTCCATCAGAGTCACATTGTCCTTCAGCCAAAACATTTTTGGCTCTGGGTATGCATGCACATCAACTACAAATTTTTTAACTTCATGAAGATTGACAGCTTCCATGGGGTTAAAATGGGGTTCCAGATGAATGAACCCTTTATCTGTAGGAGGACAAAGGTTTCCATGAGTATCTCTCAATGATAGTCAGGATGCTCAATTGAGAACAACAAAGGAAACTAGAAACAGACTGTACCATGAACTGTGATCGCGACTCTTTTTGTTTTCTTAAAATCTTTGGTCACATGAAGAGCAGCACATTCATAATCTCCACTGTCCTTAACTGAAGCATCTGGAATGGTCAGGTTGTAAACCAGCTTCTGGGTTGGAATTTTGATGTCATCAAGTGAAACTGTACCTTTGTTCTTCTGCATAGTTAAAGTATCAGAAAACTTGGTCAAACAACATGGCTACAGAAAACAACTTGGCACCCTTAAGATCCATTATCAGTTTCCAGGTTTCACAAAGACTCTCAGAGAAAGCCCTATAGTGGATCCCATCTTCATCTCAAGGTCAAATGGACAAAGAGTCAAAGACTTTTTCACTAGTAGACAGGGCACTTTTGGTGGTGGCTCCATATCTGTATCACAGGAGGCATATACACCTCTTCTTTGCAGATTGGGAATAACCGTGCGCACAATACCTTGCTTGCCTGTGAAATTCATCATCTAGCTAAGGATATACTAATGACAGCTTATATGCACATATGGGCCCTGTCTGGAGCACAGTGGTTGTGTGAATATTCAATCAAGTGACCCTGAGCATAACCTATTGAGAATGCTGAAGACTGCAGTCATACACTCTCTCTATAACAGCCAAAGGAATTCACTTACAAATCATTTTTTATACTGTGAATATTAAAAAATTGGGCCCAAACCTAGAATTAGTACATTTGAAAATCCACAACATGTCCACAGTGCTGAATGCTAATGAGGTTGAAAAGGAAGTCAGCAAACTGGGATCACAGTAATTTATTTCCATTTGAGTGGCAATGCTACTGATTTTTGTTCCAATTACTTATTCAGGTTTTCAGAAAGCAAAATTAATTCATAACACCTCCCCTACCACAAAAAACCCTCCAAAAAACCCCATCCCAAACAACTCAGTTTCTGTGATTTAGGCAATTGTCAAAGGAAGGATTCTTTGATCTAATAGATCAAACCACAGCACAGCCTTCCTCAAAGGTGGTGAAAAAACTGAAAGCAGTGGGAATAGCTAGAGCTCTTGATGAATATGGAAACTAACAAAATTGGGGCCTCCACAAAAATAAAGACTTTTTCTTTATTGATGTTAAGTAGAAGCACACTGTCCAACTTTTTATTTTCTGAAATCGCGAGAACGCCAGACCGAAAAAGGGACATCCGGGAATCAAAACAGATGCCAGGATTGGCTTCTGTAATCCGTGATGCCCAGGTTAAAACAGGCCATTTGGTGGGTTTGATAGATGCCAAGAATGACATTTTTTAAAAAACCGAAATCCTATTTATGGTATTGCTCATTTATCTACTTAATCACATGGCACATTATGGACATGGAGAAAAGTAAAATCTTAGCAGCAGAATCAGAATGAATGGGACTAGGAATACACTATCATAAATCTATGCATGGGATCTATTCTCAGTTCACTTTGGCCCAATATGACAATTTATGAGATTTATTCTTCTCTTGTCTTTCTGCTGAGGTAGCTGAACACTAAGTTGGATCCACCTGCTTCCCATCAAAATCAATGGGACTTCAGGTAGTCATGACTGACTGTTCACATTGATATCAATGGGACCTTAGTGTGACTACCCTCGTCTGGCTCCAGCCCATTGTGATTAATTATCCACTCTTCCACTCCTCCTTTTTATCTCTGCAATAACTTTCTGAAGCAGGATTAGTCCCAATCCAGCACTTTAAGCTCCTCTGGTGCACTAGCTCCCAGTTAACTCTGGTGTGCTATGCTTCAGAGAAGAATCAGCCCATCTGATTATGACTTGAAGTCATTTGTAGAGAGTCATATTCTCACATCTATAGGAGTGTAACATGTGGGCAGCTCCAGAAACACTCCATTTTTTGTTCTATTATGTTTTCCAGGTTTGAGGGGAGTGTTATTACTTTATAACCACTGTCCCACTTCCTGTCAACCTCATATGTTACTCATCTCCTCTTAACATCTTGTAAAGTTCTGCACGTTTACTAACAATAAAGTCTTGGTTCATGATACCCAGCTAACGCAACAAGAAAACGCTCTCTCATCTGTCTTTATTCTATTTGTTATTTTTATTTTTTACGAGAAAAAAAATCCCCCTACAACCCCACCCACAGTCTTCTTCGGTCACTTATTCAACAACAAGTATTTGGGGAGGGGGGGAGAGATATTTACCACTTTCCCTGGATAATTCCACTGTAAGTTCACGACTTCGTTATCCAAGACCACACACGTTACAACAATGGTTTCTCCTGTCTTATACACGGTCTTGGGGGATTCGATCTCAACATGAAGATATGATGTAGCTGGAAGAGTAAAAGAGAATTAGCACATTTAAGAAATATTTTGCACATCACAGAGGTTCTTTTGAACAATTTGCTCTGAGTAACTGTTGAGGGGGACCTTTGCACTAAGGCAAAGGGATAAGTCTGTTAAAATAAACCACGGTGCTTTCAGAAACCAGCATTCAACAATTGACATGATTATTGTCAGGTGTTCCATAATGTAAGGCAGTGGCTTTCAACCAGTGTGCCGTGGCACCCTGGGGTGGCTTGAATGATACTCAGGGGTGCTGTGAGCAACACTGCCCTCTGTTCCTTTTTCCTTCCCTTCCTCCTGTGATACCTTCTCACATCTCTGCCTTCCAAAGATTTGTGTGGCTGCTTGCTGCAGCAGCCCTGGCTACAAGCTCCCAAGGCGAATAGTGCCTCTGGGGTTGGCCAGGGGGTTCTGGTTGCCAGGAACTGAGGTGGCCTCGGAGTAAACAGGCAAGTGGGTGAGGGAGCCCAGCCAGCCAGCCAGTGCACCAGCCTTTGCTGTTGGGAATGGACAGAAAACCAGGAGGCTGAGCAGGCAGGCAGGCGTTGTGCTGGCCTTTCTTGTGCTTGCTGGGAGCTAAGTACCTGCCTGGGAGCTGAGTGTCCAGCACTGAAGGAGAGCCTTTCCACCACGCAGGCCCAGCAGCGCCCGCTGCTGTCACTGCTGCCTCCCGAGGTGAGGTAATTTGCTGGCCTCACATTCACCTTTGGTCGGTCTCTGTCGGACCACTAAGTCTGGGGGCATCATCTTTCCAGGCCCCTGTGGGGCAGCATGAAGAGACACCTCTCTTGGGGCAGGGGGTGGGGAGAAGCTCAGAGACCAGGGGGTGTGGTGGGGTCCAGGTCAGTTCGTATGGGGAATCATAGAATCATAGAATCATAGAATCATAGAATCATAGAGTTGGAAGAGACCACAAGGGCCATCGAGTCCAACCCCCTGCCAAGCAGGAAACACCATCAGAGCACTCCTGACATATGGTTGTCAAGCCTCTGCTTAAAGACCTCCAAAGAAGGAGACTCCACCACACTCCTTGGCAGCAAATTCCACTGTCGAACAGCTCTTACTGTCAGGAAGTTCTTCCTAATGTTTAGGTGGAATCTTCTTTCTTGTAGTTTGGATCCATTGCTCCGTGTCCGCTTCTCTGGAGCAGCAGAAAACAACCTTTCTCCCTCCTCTATGTGACATCCTTTTATATATTTGAACATGGCTATCATATCACCCCTTAACCTCCTCTTCTCCAGGCTAAACATGCCCAGCTCTCTTAGCCGTTCCTCATAAGGCATCGTTTCCAGGCCTTTCCAGGGGAAAGGCGGTCCTTGAGGTATTGTGGTCCTGAGCCGTTTAAGGATTTATAGGTCAAAAACAGCACTTTGCATTGGGCCTAGAAACTAATTGGCAACTCCAGTAGGATTGGCCTTGTGTGCCCAAACAGTCTTGTCCCAGTGAGCAACCTGGCCACTGAATTCTGCAAAAGCTGAAGTTTCTGAACTATCTTTTAGGGGGTTGTTCAAGGAGGCAGGAGAGGATATATTGTTTATTAATATCCTTCCTAGCTAGTGTTAGCAGGTTCTATAACTTGGCAGAGTTTTACATTCCCCTTTTAAATGCACAGCAGATAGCTGGCTGCAGGCTTGTGTAAGCCTCTCACTACCATACAATTCAGTATTGAATTGTATGTTCCTGGTAAGTCCCCTTTTATAAAAGAATAAACACATGACAATCTTATTTAAAGTTGATAAAAGTTGTTTACTCACATCAGTTCACAGTTGGATCCCTGAAGGCAGACTTAGTTACAAATAGATACATGTGGATCTACTCCATATGGGAGACTTGGTCCCAATATCCCATTTCTAGCTAAGAAGCTGGTTCAACGAAGGAGGAAGTGAAAAAGAGAGAGTGTGGCAGCATGCCTTGTCCTTTTGTTACCTGGACAGGTAAGGTCACGCCCACCTCTAGTCACATGCAAAGGAAGGATGTTCCAGCCAAAAGGAAACAGGAAGTTTTTGACTGGCTGGACCAAACATTCCCCTGCATGTCTTCTCTAGGAAAACAAGGAATGTTGTGTTTGACTGCTCTCAGTGGATTACATCCCACATCTTTAGAGGCAGCCCCACATATAATGCATTGCAGCGATCTATGGAAAGAACAAATGAGTTTTTCACTCATGCTTCAAGGGCGTGAGTGAAAAACTCATTTGTCCCTTACACAGAGAAAAGTTGAAAAGAAATACCTTTGTAAATATAGATGACAAATTCACCGGACCGGAACTCCTTTCCCTTAACGGTGGTCTTGCACAGATAGGAGCCTGCAGAGAAGTTTCCGATGAAGCCCTGCCTGTTGTCATAAAAGGCATACACGATTTTCCCTTCAGTGGTCATCAAAGTTACTTGGGCGTTGGGGTCACTTGTCCGGCAAGGGATGGTGGAGGACTCTTCTTCTTCGGTGATGACAATGAACTCATCTTCTGGGAATGTCGGAACAAAGGGAACAGCTGGATCTGTGAAGAGGGAGATATGTTGAACCATCAACCAGGCTAGAGGAGTAAGTGACTTTAATATCTGGTGACTCAATCCTGTATCCTGTGTGTGTGTGTGTGTGTGTGTGTGTGTGTGTGTGAAGCTCAGCAGCTCCCACAGGTCTCCGTTAAAACTCTCTCTTACACTGGCAAGCTGCTGACACAGGGACATAGGAAACTAGAACCATAGAATTGTAGAGCTGGAAGAGACCACAAGGGTTAGCTAGTCCAACCAGCTACAATTCAGGAATCTTTTGCCCAACATGGGGCTTGAACCCACAACCCTGAGATTAAGAGTCTCCTGCTCTGCTGGAATCAGGCCATCTAGCTCCATACTGTCTACACAGGCTGGCAGTGGCTCTCCAGGATTTCAGAGAGGCAGCCCTCCCAGCCCTCCCTCCTATATGCAAAGGAGATGTTGTGCTACTGAGCTATGGTCATTCAGTCATCTTCAGAATGTGGTTGAAACGGCACGCATAGCATGGAGAAGTGTTGCTTTAAAATTCCAGCGATAGCTCCTATAAATATGCCAGCTTAAACAACAACACCAGCAACAAACTTAGATGGTCCCGTAAATCGTCATTATCATGTTCATGCAAACTGATGCAGTCTCAGAGATGCACATGACCAATGGCTGAGCGGGAATGGGACCTCTGCTACCATACAGAACAGTTGTTAAGAGGGCAAAAGCATTCACGTTATAACATGGCAGTGCAACCCTTCCTTCAGGTCGGGAAAGGATTGGGGAAAGGATGTGTTCATTTGCTAAACACGTCCAAATTCAGTAGCAGCCAAACTTTTCAGTTCCAGATTGTAAAGTGTGTGTGTGTGTGTGTGTGTGTGCATGCTGCAATTCCAGAAAAACACTGCAGATGTGGTAGAGGTTACTGTATTTAGATTCCAAAGAATCACAGCTTTATTTCTTTTCTTTTCCACAAGCAGGTTTCTAGCCCTTTTGATTGCTAATGTGCAAAGTTTCCTTCCTTCCTTCCTTCCTTCCTTCCTTCCTTCCTTCCTTCCTTCCTTCCTTCCTTCCTCTTTCTTTCTTTCTTTCTTTTGCAAAGTGTTTATTTTGCAAAACATTTTCCTATTTGAATAATACAGTTTCTGTCAGTCACGGACAGAGGCAAGCAACTGTAAGGAAGGAACTTGAAGCCATTAGGAACTGTTTTTCTAGATCAGATCAAAGTCTTTCTAGTCCAGCATCCTGTTTTCCATAACAGCCAGCCAATTGCTTTTAATAGGTTTCTTTTTATTTTTGAGGCATGGTTGAAAGTAGTTGGAAAATACTTCAAAAGCCAGAGAATTGCTGAATAAGATTTGCAGTGGCCAGAGGATGGAGCTGTAGTGCCCTGTATTAAGGCTGAGCAAAATTGTGGTCACAAGGAACTCAAACCATGAGTCATGAAGCTGGCTTGTTAAACTACGCAGAGTTTGTTTCAAAGCTAGTTCCCTAGTCCGTATGTAACACTAAGCCAATTTTCTTTGGAAGTGAAGGTAATCTTAGATGGAGAGGGGAGTGTGAGAGTCTGATGCTTTGCTCAGGCACATTGAGGCTTGTCCTCATAGTGCTAAACCAGTCTTCTCCAAATTGGTGCTTTCCAGATGTTTTGGACCACAACTTCCTTCAGCCCCAGCTGCCATTGTCATTGTTCAGGGTGAGGATTTAAATTCCAATCCCAACCTTTCTCCCAAAGGAGTTGAAGGTAGCTAATAACATTTTTAAAAAACAAAAACCAATCACATTACAACCATAACCAAGGCACTGGATGATGGGAAATGTAGTCTGAAATGTCTGGAGTGCAAAACGAAAGCTGCACCAACCATTGTTTAGTGTTATGTGCAAACTTAGCCTTTTATAGTGTCACTCTTGGGGACTTTGGGAGAAAGAAAATGGTAGGAGCAAGGAGAAACTCTGGGTGGCAGTGATAAGTTTCACCTCTGAATTTTCCCTTCTCTCAAATTGGAAAGAGGGGTTTCGGCTGCCCTATCACACACACACACACACCTCAGAGTCCTGAAATACAAGCTGAAAGTTCCCACAGGAGAACTTTCAGCTCAACACCTCTCTGGATAGCGGCATACTATTCTCAGAAACAACACATGGTAAAAAAATTCAGAATGAAGAATGCAATGTCTGAGAAATTACACAAATCAGAATCAAGTTTTTTCTTGCCACAGAAATGGGAGTGACAGAACCGGCCCTTAGTGAAGAGTATGTTTAGCCCGGTTTATAGGCCATTAACTTTTAAACCACCCTTTGGTCTAAAGAGAAAGAAACCACATCTCCCAGTGTTTCACATTTTACCATAATATGGTATTATGCTTAGAACTCCAGTTCTTATTGAAATCTATCTTGTAAAAATAAAGAAAATGGTACTACAAGCCTGGGATGTCTTGTATCAAGTTTTTTGGGGGGCAGGCAGTTGACTATATAGAAAATCCAAACCCAGCCGACAAAGGAATTTGTAATGTGCGCTGTGAGACCTTCTAGTAATCATTCAAACCTAGCAGCACATAAACTTGCATTCCACAAAAGCAGTGCATTTGCTTTCTCCCCACAAATGGGATTCTCACAGCTTCCCCCCCTTGTTGCCTTGGGATTGATCCAGTGCACAGACTTTAAATGCTTTCTGCTTCTAATAAAGAAAATGGCTTCCACCTGTGCTTTCAAAATTCTTATGTGGGGGGGAGGGAATATATGGGTTCCTTAGAAAATATACTGTTCGTGATAGAAAGAGACATTTTAATTTGAATAATAAAGAAAGAAGAAGTTTAAGATCTGCAACACTGGCAGCTCATTTTTTAGTCTATGGGGAAAATCTCAGTCAAGCAGGAATCACTTCTCTGGGCAAGGAGAAATGCCACAATCATTCCTGCTGTAACTACCCCATTAAACAATGGCAAAACTGCAACATATATTGCTGGTTGATTTTGTAAGGGCAAGAAGGCTGCCCTAAACTGGGTATCTATCTCTGTCTGTCAGGGCAATCAATCGTGAGTCATTCATTGGTTGTTCTGCTCATGGAAGACAAACTTTGGAATGCAATGCATATGCTTTGTGGTTCTCAAACTATTACTAAGTCCCCTGTTTATATAGATCGTTGGGGTGTGCCTTAGTTTCATAAAGTAATGTGAGACTAATTACCCCACATAACTTTTCAATGCAAAAACTTAAATGTGAGAAACTAATAGGAGCACCCTTAAAAAAAAAAGTTTCACATGTTAGTTTTACCTAGAAGGCATTGCATTGCATTGAAAACGAAAATATTCCTGAACTGGTACAAGGAACAAGAGGAGGGAGAAAACTGTGGAACTGAAAAGACATGCCAACTTTCCAACCTGACGCTTAGAAACATTAGTTCCGTATCTTACAAGAAGTCTCCAATGATCAAACAGAATGCCCTTTCCAAACTGTCCTCTGTCTGATGGCTTGGGGGACAGAATGCCCACAAGTGTCATGATATTTGCATGGGGGGGACAGGAGAAAAGCAGTTGGATCTCTCTCTTGCCTATAAAATGGGATCCCCTTTGGCCAATCTGTAACAAATCCAGCAGGTATGGTGCTGTAGGCAGAGGCATAGTAGAATGCCTGTGAATGTTCTGCCATTTAGATCGGATGCACCAATGTCATAGGTCGCAGAACAGAGGATGCATCTTGGCTGAAATCAATGCAAAAACGAAGGTGAAATTAAAACTGAGAATAACCAACGTGCAATGAGATGAGTGTAAGCGAAATGAAAGTGAAACTAAACTGTGGCCTTTAGAAAATGAAACTAAATTAAACATTTTCAAGCGCATACCCCAAATAGTTTTGAAAAGATTCAAGATGCATTCTCTGATTCTAAATCTATCTAAGGGAATGTTTCTTGCACTGTGGTCCAGAAAATCCTGGGGTTCCTAGGAAGCTTTGTCAAAGGCTCCTCAATGGATGAGAATGTTAGTAGTACTCTAATATCATCAAGCTTTCTTGAAAGATCATTTGTCCATTATTCACCTTCACACATCATGCACAGCCACAGAGGACTGTTGGATATTCTGTTGGGTACAAATAAAGCCCAGCAAATTCTGGGAACTGCAAACTGAGCATTGTTCGGTTCCTTTTGCAGTGCACACAGGAATTTGCATGCAGGAATTACCAGCAGAAAAGTTGATATGGAAAGAGTTCCCTGTTGTTAGAACAGTGTGAAGCTACTTTCCATTGGAACAAGTCAAGTTTGGACTAATTCCACAAAATTCATCTCCATTTGGTTAGTGTGGTATGTTCTTTGATTGTGATCTGTGGCCAGGTCAGGTTTGAAAATCTAAACATAGGAAAGGCTCTGAACTGGATTTATATGCAGCTTCTAAAATGGTGTGTTTTGATCAATAGAAATGACCAGCATCGTAACGTTCAGTTGCTCCACAACCTTCTCTGTCAAAGAGGTTTCACTATCATGGAGGCTTTATCATAGATACAGTGAAAGGAATCAACCCACCTGGCACAAAGACATAGATGTCCTTCCCCTCCACCTCACCATCTTCATCTTGAGAATGATTGTAGTAGCAAGTGTACAATCCAGTGTGAGAAGCAGAAGCATTTGCCACATCAAGCACGGTCACAAACAGGCCACTGTTGTTCTCCTCGCTTTTGAGGTCTATGGTATGGTTGCCATCGGGTATTGGATGTTGCCAGCCGACTTCACTGTCTCCAGAACATTTCAGGGTGAAGGGGGAATTCAGCTGCACAACCATTTCATCGTTGTTTGGCAGAATAGTCGGAAGCAAAGACTGGCAAGAGGCTAGCCATGGCCCTGTGAAAATAAAAGTATAATATTTTTACATTGGAATTTGGGGAGGAAATGATCATCTGCTCATTTCTGAACAATGGCCATTTCTATTGGGGGGGGCCATAGTTCTGCAGGACATGGAGCACTCACTTTAGTACAGCAGGCTACATCTTTAGTTCAGAATACCAGAACACCAGAGATGGGGAACCCAACTGGGGGCCAGGAAGAGACCGTATTTCAAGCACAATTGATTCATTTTAAGGTGATTGTTTCTGTACCATCCTTTTTTATGAAGCCACACACATATCCAGTGAAGTCATCACATTCATGCAAGGACTTCTGCTTGTGTAGCAGAACTTCCCCTTCCTCCCCTCTCCCTGACAACTCTGCTCCAGAGGATTGGAGGAACCCCCAGAACAGATTTGTGGGTGCACTGAGGAAGGAGGAGGAGAAGGAGGAGAAGGAGGAGGAGAAGGAGAAGGAGAAGGAGAAGGAGAAGGAGAAGGAGAAGGAGAAGGAGAAGGAGAAGGAGAAGGAGAAGATCCATTGCACAAATCAGGCAATTTTGTTGGTCACCTGTATAGACCAAACTCATGCTATTAGCCTCTCCTTTCTCCAAGCTTTCTGATGATACCTCTCCAGCCCAGGCCAGAAAAATATATAAGATTCCAAGTAGTTCAGCTGTTGTGTCTTTGGGTCTAGGCTTAGATAATTTTGATTTAACTATCAGCTCTCTGCTGAAGAATATTGAGCTTGACAAACAATTTCAACTGTGGTTACCTGTCAAGAAGCAGCCCACAATCAGGATCGTTCTTCGGGAAGGACCCATGACGATCATCAACTGAAACAAGAACAGGAAACAAAGGCAAGGCATGATTAGTTAGTGAGGGTATAGGAAATGACAACGCTACATCTGCAATGTGCATTAGCACCTTGGAAATGTGGAATGATGGCATTAATCATTCTGTACTGTCAAAAATGACAAATAGTCCTGGAAGCACCAATTTTGGTCGGCTACATTCAAATCTATGTTAAATTCACCAGGGGTACCATTTGGCAGATTAGCACATACATTTCTGTTTATTGCGAACTGAAAAAAGATACCCACAACAAATGCACACGGCACAATCCCTTTCATATTTTCTCAGAAGTTCTGCAGACGGCGGTGGGACTTGCCAGTGTGCATGAGGCTGCAGTCTTAAATCTCGGATGTATTTAAGAGCACGCTTTCGAACCTTGCTGCAAATTTTGCCCCCCTATCTCTTTCTCCAACTACTGAAATCAGACCCGATATCTTCAAAAATATGCCAAGTGGATCTTGCAAAATTTCGGTCTCTTACATTCAATGTTTGAAGCAAGATCTTGAGGATAGAGTAGTAAACACTATATGCAATTCTCAAAAGCATCAGTATTGGGGGGAAGAGAGCAGGAATGGAAAGCCTGATCTTGATTAGCCTATTCCAAAGACAGCATCCATTTAGTTATGCTCTTCTCCAAATTCCTTTGGCTCATTGAAAACATTATCCTCAAGCTGCAGGAATTTCTTATGAAAACAGCCCCAGAGAAACACAGGCTCCGCTTTGACCCATCTCTGTTCAGTGCTGAATACACAGATTTCAAAGATCTTCACCATTTGCAACAAGCAAGGTTGCAGTCCTCTGCACACATCTCTGGGAAGTTAGTACAATGAACATACTCCAAAGGTAAATATGCAGAAGATCAGGATACACATTACTCCACTGACAGTGAGGGGGGAAATGGTTATCATAGTTTGCTGGGCTTTTAGTATGTCAGGATTTCCATTTTATATAAATATATGACATGTATTTTTCTTGTAAAATAAATATCCTTGATCATTTAAAACCTAGATTCTAAATGTATGACAAAACTCTCTTGCTATACATGAAAAGGGATATATGACTGGGTCCATGTTCATATTGTATTTTACATTATTACTACCATTGCATTCTCTTTTAAGTTTGGCCGAGCGAATGGCTGTAAATCAATGGCTAATCTCTCCAGGACAACAACTAACAAGCTTTTTCTCTATGTGCCATGTGTAATTTACAGTCTTGGGTAATCAAGCTGCCCACCTGCTCCTTTCTAAAAGGCAAACACCGAACTCTCTTTTCAAGTGAAATTGCCTTTGAACCCAATGGAAGTCTTGGAACTGACTCTGGGATTAGGTGGGTCTGGCTGACTGTGATTTGGTGAAGGCTCTACAAAGAAAACATGGGTGAGGTCATTAGGAACATTCAGCAGGACTATTAAGAAGCTGTCTGGTTTATCAAGCTGGTCTCAATCTGTGCTAAGTTGCATACACAAAATACATGTCAGTGTGCAATTGTCTGCGGCTGAAACAAACTTGATCAAAAACGTTTTTGCATTTTATGAGGAAATTATAATGTCTTGTAGTTTTGCATTCAGGAGGTCCTGGGTTCAGTCCCTGGGATCTCTGGCTAAAAGGGTCAGGCAGCAGATGACATCAAAGACCTCTGCCCAAGACCTTGGAGAGTTACTGCAAATCAGAGTAGTCAATAATGGACTAGGTAGACAAATCGTCTGAGCCGGTATATCTGTTCCCCCAAAGAGTCCTCTGCAAATTCTAATGTCAGGTATGCACCAGTTACTTCCTGACCATTTGATGCACTTTATTTGGTATCCAAAGATATTTCATTTTCCTATATTTACCGACAGCATTGAATAGATGTCAAGAAATGGCATTTCATGTTTGACAGTTGACAGCATGGGAGATTTCATATTTGACACCAGCCATAATCAGCGTCACTGAGAAATGTTCCCAAGTCTAAAAATATGTGTATTGCAAATGCTGAGGTTCTTTTAAAAAGCACACACCGCTTTGTATTTAGAGTGTTCAAAACACTTCACATCATCCCATTTTGATTTTTGTCAGAATTTCAGCAGGAATAAGGGAGTTAAACCTTTCCTCCCCATGTGCTGATGCAAATTGCACACAAACACACACAGGGCTGGCTATTACATGTGTTGTTGGTTTTTTTTAAAAAAACTGAGGTAGTTTTTAGCAAATGCACAGGTATAAATGCTGTCATGGTTGCAGTGGCAGTGTCTGTAGTGCATGGATAGGCAAACTAAGGTCCGGGGGCCCGGATCCGGCCCAATCGCCTTCTAAATCCGGCCCACGGACGGTCCAGGAATCAGCGTGTTTTTACATGAGTAGAATGTGTGCTTTTATTTAAAATGCATCTCTGGGTTATTTGTGGGGCATAGGAATTCGTTCATTTTTTTCCTTCAAAATATAGTCTGTCCCCCCCACAAGGTCTGAGGGACAGTGGACCGGCCCCCTGCTGAAAAAGTTTGCTGACCCCTGCTGTAGTGTGTTGGAAGTGGTGTTGCTGCTGGACCAGGCCCTAAAATGCAGTTTCTTCCCTCCCCCCCTTTTAAAAAAACACTCTGTAGCACACTGGTTATTCTGCATCAGTGTTGATAGAAACTTGCAAATGCAGTCACCATGAAACCCACACAGCTATTCTGAATAGCAGTTTAAGGGTAGGGTTAAACAGCAATTACACACACACACACACACACACACATACATACACACCCATGTGGCAAAACACTCCATTGCAAATGGTCCTGAGTGTACAAAAGTAGCTTTTTGGATCCTGGCCACAGTCTATGATGCACTGTGCTAGATCAACTCACATAACAGATGATCCTGAAACAATATAGCAGCAAGACCTCAACAGGCCAAGAAATACTGTCTTATAAATGACAACTCAGTACCTCTTTCCTTACGCAACATGCACAGTTCAATACAAGTGACAGCGCATGCTGCTTTTATACCAGATGTTATCTTGGGTCTTCCCTTTGCCCAGCTGAAGAAGTGGGTTCTATCAACAGCAAATTTACAGCATGACCCTAAGCATGTTTACTCAAAGACTTAATAAAGATATTTAGGATTCTGCCGTTTATAGCATCCACCTCTTCTACTGGACAAAGGTATGATACAAGCATAAAAGGTAAAGGGACCCCTGACCATTAGGTCCAGTCGTGGCCGACTCTGGGGTTGCGGCGCTCATCTCACTTTATTGTCCAAGGGAGCTGGCGTACGGCTTCCGGGTCATGTGGCCAGCATGACTAAGCCGCTTCTGGCGAACCAGAGCAGCGCACGGAAATGCCGTTTACCTTCCTGCCGGAGCAGTACCTATTTATCTACTTGAACTTTGACATGCTTTTGAACTGCTAGGTTGGCAGGAGCAGGGACCGAGCAACGGGGGCTCACCCTGTTGCGGGGATTCGAACTGCTGACCTTCTGATCGGCAAGTCCTAGGCTCTCTGGTTTAACCCACAGCGCCACTCGCGTCCCTTGATACAAGCATAGGCACTCCCAAAAGACCATCCATAGGACTGCCAGTCGCATTCCTATCCATCCCTACTAAACTATTATTTGTTGCCAAGGATTTAGCTTTAAGCAGCTTCAACCAAAACTCCTTTTCCATATATGATAGAAAATGAATAGCTTACAGCCATACTATCCTGAACATGCCTCATCCCGTCTGATCTCGGAAGCTAAGCAGGGTCAGGCCTGGTTAGTACTTGGATGGGAGACCACCTGAGAATATCGGGTGCCATCGGCTTAGAGCCTGGGTAGCTCAGCTGGTTAGAGCATGGTGCTGATAACACCAAGGTTGCAGGCTTGATCCCCACGTGGGACAGGTGCATATTCCTGCACTGCAGAGACTATATGATACTCAGGAACCCTTCCAACTTTAAGATTCTATAATTCTATGAATAAGGTCCTTCCTTGGGGCAGAACCAGAGCTCCATGGTACAGCATTGGACTTGCATGCTTAATCCCTGACATTTCCAGATAGGGGCAGGAAAAGCTCCAGTCTGAAACCTTGGAGAACCTCTGTCAGTCAGAGTTGACAATATTGTGCTAGATGGGCCAATTGTCTGACTCTGTATAAGGTAGCTCCCTTTGTTCCTAAATACAGTGGTACCTCTGGTTAAGAACTTAATTCATTCCGGAGGTCCATTCTTAACCTGAAACTGTTCTTAACCTGAAGCACTACTTTAGCTAATGGGGCCTCCCGCTGCCGCTGCACCACCAGAGCACGATTTCTGTTCTCATCCTGAAGCAAAGTTCTTAACCCGAGGTACTATTTCTGGGTTAGCGGAGTCTGTAACCTGAAGCGTATGTAACCTGAAGCGTATGTAACCCGAGGTACCAGTGTACAGACTGTACTTGTGACATGCATTGGAACTGCAACAGCATATCAGGGAGGAGCATTAAACCAATACCAAGGAAAAACCAAAGGAGTGATTTACTGACCACTGCAATCTCAATCTGGCTGCCCTTCTGTAAGTAGAGGGATGAGCAGCAGCCTGCATTCCCCCACCAGGACTGACAGATGACCAGAACATGCACAACAACTCCAGAAATTCAGCAGATGGCATTCCTGCAGAAACAAGTCATCTGCCTTGGTTTTTCAATTAGCAATAATGGCCATGTGTTTATGTAAAGTGCCTCCCACTGATAAGAGGCTCTTGAACATCAAAGTCGTCTTCCCTTCCAGCCTTCTTCTCCCCTCATCTTTTTTTTAAAATCACAGTTCTAGCCTGTATTTTTCCTAGATAAAGAATCCACAGTACATACATCTTAAAATAAAAATAAAAATCCCATAATCTTCTCTGATTAGCTAACTTCTCAGGCTTCAAGCTGCCTCTGCTGTCTATTCTTGCAACCAACTGCCATCTATTTACAGAGAAAGAAAATGCACTGAGTTCAGTGAAAAATACTCCAAACCAGTGTGCTTAGAAACATTCTACAATAAAGTTTTCATGTTTAAAATAAACCACATCAGGATTCAGGGCTTATCCACACTTTTGCCCTGTTCTTTCCTGACATAGGTTCACATTTAAAGCTCTGTGTCCAATAAGTTTTGCTTTGTTTTTGACCTGGAGGTTTCTCAGTGTAAATGCACTCTCTAGCACTCAACTGGAGCAAATTCTGGGTTTCCCCAGGTTGTTGTTTGCTTCGATTCAGCTTGGGGCAGGGTAGAGAGCTGCTCCACATGTTCCTGATTTTGGTGATCATCAAATTGGAAAATACGGGGGGGGCAGAGAGAGAAAAGATGACATGTTGGTTTGTAGAGCAAATGGAAATTGGAAATTTGAGCTACTCCCTTCTTTGTTAGAAAAGTTAAGACCAAAAACACTAGTAAAGGTAAAGGGACCCCTGACCATTAGGTCCAGTCATGGCCGACTCTGGGGTTGTGGCGCTCATCTCGCTTTATTGGCCGAGGGAGCCGGCGTACAGCTTCCAGGTCATGTGGCCAGCATGACGAAGCTGCTTCTGGCGAACCAGAGCAGCACACAGAAACGCCGTTTACCTTCCCGCCAGAGCGGTGTCTATTTATCTACTTGCACTTTTGACGTGCTTTCAAACTGCTAGGTTGGCAGGAGCAGGGACCGAGCAACGGGAGCTCACCCCGTCGCGGGGATTCAAACTGCCAACCTTCCGATCGGCAAGTCCTAGGCTCTGTGGTTTAACCCAGAGCGCCACCCGTGTCCCTCCAAAACACTAGTAAGTGGGCATTACAATAAACAACACCAAGCCAGCCATTCTGCAGTTCCTCAGAAGGGAAGCAAAGTAACAGCTCAATTGTATTCATGTTTATTAAAAAATACAAAATACAAGTAAACTGTTTGCGTGATGGTTTATTCCCAGCAAAAATGTGCATAAAATTGCTGCCTATTGCTGCAAAATCTTACGCAAACGTGCTTGGGAGGAAGCCACATTAAACAGAATGGGGCTTACCTGTAAGTAACCATGCATAGGAGTGGGCTGCACAAGTTCTTAGGTGTTTGCTTCTAAAGTACAGTCTTTCACTGTATTGCCATAAAATAGCCAGTTCACAAAATTCTGTCTGCCGCTCTCAAGCAATGCCATGTTAAAGTGTGAGTGATGGATAAACAGAAGTCAGGGGACCAGCTTTAGAAGAGCGAATGGAGCAAGAGAAAGAAAATTCACCCATCTTACCCTCCTCCTAAAACACCATTGAGCCCTGCTATGAAGCTCCTGCGGTGTGATTTGGCTGCATTTACTCCAACAGGCCAGTTGGCGGCACTGTTGATTCACGCTGATACAGCAACGTTCTATTACTTTTGACTGATGCAAACTTTAGCCTCAGAGGCAACAGATCAATTTTGGAGTGAATCCAGATTACCTAAATAACATCTGCTGGAAAACCTTGATTTTCAAATGGAAAAAAAATATATATGTATTTCTGCTCTGCTTTTGCTAAATGCCATGACCCCATAGTCCTAGAAACTGCCCAAGCATTATTAGAACCAGGTAAGGAACCAGTTACATAATCGCAAGGTTGTCCAACATTTGCAAGGATTGAAAACCTCCTTGAGGGTCATCAGATGCTAATCAGCCTATAGTCTCCCCAAGGAGATGTTGCACATTTCCAAGAAAGCATCAAGGAAGCCCAATAAAAAGAAACGCATTTTGAAGAATGCTTTATATTTTGCAAGCTTCACTGAAACATGTTCATGGGGCCACCTGCAACTTTTCACGGTTGCTGGCTTTTTTCCTAGCAAAGTTCTACCGACAGCAGAAATTCCCAGTGCAAGGAATAGCAGGGGATTCTGCAGCTTTCAGTGACTCCAGGGGAGAGAGGAGCAGGCAATAAAAAAATTGGCTTCCTAGATCCATTTTAAAGATGATGAATTCACAGGCGTAAAACCTGAATGAGTTACAAGATCAAATTCTCTATCCAAGGCCCGTATCCAAGATTGCTTTCCAAAAATGTCGATTCCTCCTTGGTTTGATGGATATCACTTCCCCCTTTTGGCCCATTACCCGCTGCAAGTATTTCATTTCCTGGACTGTTTCCCAGCCAAGGAAATACTGAAAGAGCAGAGGAGAAGAAAGAAGAGAAGGGTCTTTTCCTAATGCCTCCCTAGTTTGCTGCTCCTAAGGAAGAAACATCACCTTCCTGCAACCTTGCATCAAATACATTGAGTGATGCACATGTGACCCGGGGCCATTTAAGTTACAGGTCTACTAATGAGTGCCAGACTCCCATTTGTGGTAAAGTATGCTTGGTGTAGGGTGGCGCTGTGGGTTAAACCACTGAACCTAGGGCTTGCTGGTCAAAAGGTCGGCGGTTCGAATACCCGCAACGGGGTGAGCTCCCGTTGCTCGGTCCCTGCTCCTGCCAACCTAGCAATTCGAAAGCACGAAGTGCAAGTAGATAAATAGGTACTGCTCTGGCGGGAAGGTAAACGGCGTTTCCGTGCGCTGCTCTGGTTTCCCAGAAGTGGCTTAGTCATGCTGGCCACATGACCCGGAAGCTCCCTCGGCCAGTAAAGCAAGTAAAGCAAGTAAAGCAGTAAAGCCACAACCCCACAGTTGTCCATGACTGGACCTAATGATCAGGGGTCCCTTTACCTATGCTTGGCGTAGTTTGTAAATGCCAGTGAGCTTCGTATTGGCCCAAATTGAAACTTCATGGGTTCCACCACCTTTTAAAAAAGTCTCTAAACATATATGCATTCGGAGCCCTGAGTTGCTGTTATCATTGTAACACAGAAAAGCAGCAAACTATTGATTAAGCGAGAATATGGGGAGCCTGCTGGATCAGCACCCCAAAAGGGTTGGCATTCTGGAGCGGCAAGCTACCATGTAATCTACTCGCTCTAAGTGTGGTCTCTTATTTTTGGATAAGCATCACTGGCTGGAGTGAAATATCAACCTGTGGTAGTGAGAAGTCTTGTTCACCTACTAAAGGGAAGGGTTTTAAGTTTCAGATAACCTGTGATAAAAAGGTTCTGTTTGCTGTGCCTAATCTGTGATGGGTCATTGGCACATGCAAATAGTTACGTGAAGCGATGGGCATAGCCGTGATCTACTTTTGGGGGACAGGCTTTATGCTGGGGTGAGGCAGAACTGAGTTATCTACAATGAAATTGCTCAGTTAGTTATTTTTATTTATTTACTTGAGGGGGGCAGCTATGCCCATGCTTGAGCAGCAGTCCAGGAGTGATGAATATGCATGTGTGAACTGCTCCTTTGTTTCCCTACCAATGTAAAAATACTACTACAGTGGTACCTCAGGTTACATACGCTTCAGGTTACAGACTCCACTAACCCAGAAATAGTACCCCGGGTTAAGAACTTTGCTTCAGGATGAGAACAGAAATCGTGCTCCAGCGGCATGGCAGCAGCAGGAGGCCCCATTAGCTAAAGTGGTGCTTCGGGTTAAGAACAGTTTCAGGTTAAGAACGGACCTCTGGAACGAATTAAGTACTTAACCTGAGGTACCACTGTACCATGTACATTTCCGAGCACAATTCAAGTGTTGGTGCTGACCTTTAAAGCCCTAAATGGCCTCAGCCCAGTATACCTGAAGGAGCGTCTCTACCCCCATCGTTCAGCCCAGACACTGAGGTCCAGCTCCGAGGGCCTTCTGGTGGTTCCCTCACTGCGAGAAGCAAAGTTACAGAGAACCAGGCAGAGGGCCTTCTCGGTAGTGGCACCCGCCCTGTGGAACGCCCTCCCATCAGATGTCAAGGAGATAAGTAATGATACAACTTTTAGAAGACATCTGAAGGCAGCCCTGTATAGGGAAGTTTTTAATGTTTGATGTTTTACTGTGCTTAATGTTTTTAATTTGCTGGAAGCTGCCCAGAGTGGCTGGGGCAACCCAGTCAGATGGGCAGCATATAAATAAATTACTACTACTCCTACTCCTACTATAAACTAACTCTAATTCTATCCCACCCTTTCTGCCAAAGAAGCCCAAATATGTGCACTTACGACTCTCCTATCTTGGCATCTAGACTTCCTTTTCACATTAATATGTTATGTCACTAAAGGATTGCTGGATCCTAGCATGATAACATCTGTTGCCTTTTGCTTGACTGAGATTCTAGGATGGTATGTGTGCCTCACTGGTGTAACGCAGGAGTGTTAACTCAAAAGGTTTTCAGATTCTCTGAACATAAACTCCAAGCTGTAGGTCGCTAATGTCAGGGCAGCCAAGATTTCTTGCTACTACACAGTGAGGAAAGAGAATGTGAAGCTGGGCATATGTAAGCCTTATTATTAATTTTAATTAATTATTAAATTATTATTATATTAAGGAATATTAAGGAATTAAGGAATCCTTTTGACCCTTAAAGCAGCTGGAGGAAGCTGAAGAAGACTTAAGGCTGCCATCCATCCCTTTTGCTACAGAGGTTAGAGAGATGTACCTGCGAGACAGGGGTTCGAAGTCCCCACTTAGCCATGAACTTCACTGGGTGGCCTTGGGCCAGTTGCGGTCTCTCAGTCCAGCCTACCTCACAGGGTTGTTGAGAGGATAAAACAGGTAGGGGGTGAACCATGAACACCACCTTGATCTCCTTGGAGGAAAGGTGAGGTATTAATGTAAATGAAATAAAATAAAATAAAATGTGCCCCGCTGAATTCAGGAGTAGTAAACATGCCTAGGAATGGGTTGCAAAAATATAAAATGAATTCTATGCTCACTGTGCAGTATAAAGCTTTTCCAGTACACTGGTACCTCGGGTTAAGAACTTAATTCATTCTGGAGGTCCGTTCTTAACCTGAAACTGTTCTTAACCTGAGGTACCACTTTAGCTAATGGGGCCTCCTGCTGCCACCATGCCGCCAACGCGCGATTTCTGTTCTCATCCTGAAGCAAAGTTCTTAACCTGAGGTACTATTTCTGGGTTAGCAGAGTCTGTAACCTGAAGCGTCTGTAACCCGAGGTACCACTGTATTGTAAACTAATCCAGTGTTGAGGCAAGAGCATCAGTTCCCATCGTCCATTGCACATTTCGTACACACCTTCCAGTCAAAGAGTGCCAGAAGCACAGGTACAACATGCCAGAAACGGAATAAGTTTGGTGAGCAGTTCCAGGTGGCTTAAGCAAGCAAACCGTTGCTATTTTGCTAGCTATATGGTGAAGCAAAGGGATTCTGGAGTCACAATCCACTCTGAACTGGGGAGAGCCAGTCTCTCTCAGTTCAACACATGGAATCCTTAAAGTTGAGTAAAACCCACAATGTCACACACAAACACACACACACAAATGGATTTTTGCTTGGTGCTTTGGGGCAAGCCACCTCATTTCTTAATAGCCATGTAACAGCAACCCCGTAAGAAAAGGAGATCATAGAATTATATAGTCGGAAGGGATCCTGAGGATCATCTAGTCTCCTGCAACACAGGAATATGCAGGTGTCCCACATGAGCCTTAGCACTATCAGCACCACGCTCTAACCAACTGAGCTATTCACTTGGAGTCTCAATGCCTTTAAAAATCATTATTTCTAGACACCAGCTTAATATTCACCATGCCTTACTGATCTCAGAGGTAGTAGCAGTAACATGATGCCTTTATTAGGGTCAACGGAAAGTCACAAGGTCAAACTATGAGGTCTGTTCTCAAGGAGCCACAACAGATCTAGCAGGAGAGGTGGGACTTCAACATTACTTCTCAATTGAGTGGTTTTTATTATATATAAATGAAGTTCTGTTCAGAATACTTGAAAAGTGAACTCCAGGCTATCTAAACTGGGTTCAAACTTTTCCTGCATTATCTTCAGTCCATTTTCATGCGTGTGTCAGTCCATTTTCATGCGTGTGGAATTGTCTTTTTTAAGCGGCAAAATATTGATTTCCGTCAGATTCTGCAAACTGAAAATCACAGGGTTCGGAGTCTGATGATAAATTCGCACAACCACTTTTTAAAAGGTTTTCCTCATTCAGGGTAGTTCGTTCACTCACTAAATGTCAGGCAGGTTGTCACAGCAATTGTTTTGACTAGCTAAATCCACACGACTTGACTTTGGAATCTGGCCACACAACACAACCTGGAAAATATCCTCACCCCCAAAAAAAGTTTAACCAGAAAGATTTGGGCTGTTCCCCTGGAAATGACTTGGAGCAGGCACAGGCAGGGTGATTAGAACATGCAGAACGATTCAAAAACATCTGCTTATACTCAACATGGAAGAAATGGTCATGAGAATATGTTTATGACTCACTTAGACTCTCCCCCCCCCAACCATTCTGTCCAGCTCATTGGAGAACCACATTTGAGATCTTTCAGAACTTCTTATACAGTCTGACCCACCATGTCTTTAGAATGGTCCACTCACAAAACCAGAATCACATATCCACACACTATCAAAATTGACCGCAGATATCAACTACGTTGAAAGAAATACATCATGTGAATTCACCACTGGTGAAGTAGGATTTCTTGCTCTTGTTATTCTCACTTTACGCAAAAACAACAGTGCCCGCATTGACGTCTCTAGGGTCAAAATTTGATTCAACCAGAGTATGTGGAATCTATAAGAAGTAGTAAATCAGGTGTCTTAACATTTAAAGCAAAAGATGTCTGGATTGAGACGCCACATTCCCTGCTCTGAAAACCTGGGACTGTTTGTGGACCTGTGACCACTCCAATGTTGAAAGAAATCTACTCTGCACATGTTCAGAGGTATTCTTTGTCCACTTTGTGGTCTTGTGTTTATTTGTTAAGGTTGGGGTTTTTGTGCTTCCGCAAACATCCCAAGCTCCCCCAAGCATACAAACAACTCCCACTTGTTTCTCAGAGACTTCAGCTTCATTTCAGGGACAATGAGTTAAAATTAGAGGGAGGGATAACAAATTATAATAATGTATAAATGTTGAATTAGAGCACTGGAAGAGCCATCTGTTCCAAACTCCTGGCTACAAGATCAAGTTTCTCTGAAACCAAGGGCAGCAACCAACGCAGGACCCTCCATACTTAAATCATGCTCAACTATTTGGTGAATGAATGGATCTTAAGGCTTCACTCATTGTAGGGTACTACTTGCAGCGTGGCCAGAAAAGCCCGGGAGTTAGAATAGCAGCAGCTGAGGGTCGCCACATATCTTGTAAGCAAGAGGGCTTTCCATTCAGTCCGTCGTGCGTCCCCGCAGGAAGTTCCCTAATGTGAGGAAGGGAGAGTGCTCAAAAGCAGATTCACTACTAGCGATGAATGGGGTCTCCTGTCCACATCCCCCTCACACTCTGGCACAAGGCGCTCGCAATTCGCCAAAACAATCGCTGGGGGGCAGCAGAGCACCGCCAACCTCAACGCCTCGCTGCTGCTGCTGTGCGTTGTTGCAAAACGGCGCAGAGGACGAATCTGACCTCGCGGCTATAATTTACTGCTGCCTCTTCCCTTGGGAAATCAGAAGATCTGGCACGGTCCAAGCCGACCCACCCCGCCACATCACACAGTCAACACAGCAGCATTCAAGAAATTCCGCGCGATTCCTCCACTACTTCTCTCTCTCTCCACACACACACAAACACACACACACGTGTCCAGCGTTTTTAGTGCCTGGTCTTAAATTCTAAACTTTCTTCTTCTCTCTTTCATATCCCCCGCCTCCCCCCACCCCCAACTCCTGGTGTGGTACTGATCATGGACTTTGCTATTTCTCGGTAATTAATGATTTCACCACCCCGTGCTCTTCTTGGCAGATCACGGAATTATAGAATTGTAACGGTGGAAGGGACCCACGGGTCATCTAGTCCAACCCCTTGCAGTGCACGTCGCGCGTAAAGATCAGGGGTACGTGACTCCTCTCTAGTTGTCTTCCCTCCCACCCTTGCTCAACTTTATCGCGAGAAGTCTTTGCGGTGGGGGGGGGGGTCGACCTGCGGACTCGACAGTTTTAGAGGAGGGAGGGGGAATGTGATTCTGTAGCTGAGCAGCAAACCGCATTCATGACTTCTCGCCAGCCCCAGCCCTAGTCAGCGATTTGGAGACCGCTGTTTTCCATCCGTATAGGAATCACCAAGGCCTTGCCTGGGAAAGCAAAACAAAGCGAAGTTTGCAAGCTGGAGTCTTCCTAGATTCCTCCGCCCCGCCCTCTCTCCCCTCTTCTCCTGAGGGGTCCCATGTATTTTAAAAGTCACCACCCCCCTTCCTAAACCCAGCACATAACAGATGCCTCTTTCCTTTCTCCGTGTTTTTAAAAGCGGCAATATTGAGACATAGACTCGAGAGCCATTGTGGCCTTCTGGGCAAGAGGGAAGGAAACTCAGGCGCGGGTTCGAATCCTGAATATCTGGCAGCGCGCAAGAACTTCGATTTGCTACCAGGCGCGCTTTTCACGTGTTAGCAATAAGATTTCTAGGGCAAAACGTAACTTATGAAGCGACATTCTAACCACCTCAATGCCCCTCAAAAAGCCTGCTCCCTCATCTCCTTGTTATGCACTCTGACCCGCGTTTCAGTGTCTTAGCATGAGGCCTAGATTTTGAGATGATCGCTGAAGAACAACATCTGGAAGCTGGCTTGCGTCCGCTTACAGAAGACAGACCTGCATGTGTGAATCAGACATTACAGACCATAAAGACATGCCGCTTCAAAAGCCATGCTTTGCAGCCCCGGTCTGTTCACACGTTCAACCGCGAGTCACCAACGCTGTGATCAGATGATGACCATGCACGTGTGAATGGGCCCTCGGACTTCACCCTTATTCGATAGACCCATGGAGCAAAGGAAAAAAGTCAGGCATCAGCCAGCCTGACTCGACTTAAGGGATCCTTTCCAGAATAAGCGGCGCGAGCTAGCTTCCAATCCAAAACAACTGCGCATTGTAAAGAGACGCCTCGACATTATCTCATTGTTTAGCTTGGAGACCGCTTACGTTCACACGCTTTTCACAGCCTGCCCGTTTAATGCCCGCCAGGACTTGGTGGGTCTCTGTCCACACACCTTGTTAAGCCGGAGTCGCTGGCCTCGAAAGTCCATTGAAGGAAGGCGCCTTAGAAGAAAGCAGCGCTGCGGCTTAACTGGCTCGAGGATCCGTTTCCTCGCAGAAACCAGTACTGTACTTCACATGGGGGCTCTCGTTTAAAAAAGAAGAGTGAATGAGGAAAGAGAGCAGAGAAAGAAAAGCTTAGGCTAAGAGAAGATCTTCCTTACGCTTTTACTCCTTCCCTGCGAGAACACAATAGGACTGTCTGGACCAAATTCAAGAAACAAAAATTTGGGAGGGGGGGAGCGAAAGGGGAGCCTATTATTCTGTGCCCGCCTCCCGTGAGTTCTTGGCCGAGAGGGGTTATGGTCTTCCGGGAGGATTTGCTATCAGATCACCTAGTGAAAAGGATCCCTCCAGGTTTCAGGGAGATCCGGGCCGTAGTGACTGTCGAAGATGAAAGGGACTCCCGGCTCCTGCTCCGGATTCTTTGTGTGAAGTAGATTCCAGGGTGTTTCAGCCGAGCGGTGTTTCAGAGTTGATTTATGTGGGTATTGGGATGGCACCCTTTCAGTAGATGAAAATTAGTTAATCCTTGTGACGCAGCCCTTTAGGATCGGAAGGCAAGAATAGACCCGCGTCTGCCAAAAGTCCCCTCGGTCAAAGCATCAGGAAGCAAAAAAAAAATTTAAAAAAATCAGTATAAAAGCCCCTCGAATCAACGGTGGCCTATGGATTCCAGTTAGACGGGGCTGTGATGGGGGAAAATAGGGGGAGCTGGCAGAAGGGCGCGCGGGTGCTGAGCTTTGGTTGCCTTCTCCGGGAAACTCCAGATTTCACAAATGGTGTCTCACCTCGGAACAAAGTGCCGCGGAAAAGGTGCTGCAAGTGGAACTCCAGGTCCGCCCCGTTGGGTCAAGAAACGAGGCAAAAAGAGAGCGTCAGGGTCGTCCGCTTCGATAACAAAATCAAGGTGCTCCAAGTCGCTTCACCTTTTGGGGGGAGGGGAGATGAAACGTCCATAGAAATGGAGAAGACAAATGGAGACAAATGGAGAAGACAAATTCTTAGGCTCCAAAGAGAGATACATCCCAGTTCTGTGGCCCTTTCGGAGCCAAAGCGGTCTGAAGCGGAGTTGCAAAGGACTTCAGGGACTTTTTTTCCTCTCAAAGCAAGCAAGGAAGAAAAAACCTCTCCGCAGGAGTGTGTTTGTGGAGGCTAATCCAGAGTAAACTCCCGCTTTGGGGATTGTGCGCTCCCCCTTCCCCACCTCCGCCCGGTCCCAGATCCGTTTCTGTCCTCTCCAGCGGGTTGTCCCGGCCGGCCGTGTTCTTTGGATCGCCCACGAGCTGCTGGATGGACGATCCCGGTCCAAAGAAAACGTTGAGCAAGCGAGCGAGGAGAGAGCCATTTCCTGGTGCGCCCGCCCAAGAACTTTTTTTCCAAGGCGACTCGGCTCGCCTTGCAGCGTTGGCAGCGCCAGACAAACAGCCCCGTCGGGTTTTCCATAAGCAGCGTCTGCAATCCCCGAACCAAAAGTTTCCTCTTCCTCGCCTGGTTCCTCGGGTCCAGCTTGCGCGCAAGGCTAGGATGGGTCGAAGTAAATGCGCGTCTTTAGGGACGCGGTGGAGAGGGCAGGGAGAGGGTTTAGTGGCAGCCAGTCACCCCAAAGGGCGAAAGTATCTGCTTTTGAAAGGATATTATAGCCATGTTTAGAGTGCCACTGGGCGCTCTTCGAATTAAGAGGGCAGATAAACAGGGACGGGGGGTGGATCTCCCTCTGGGTCTGATACACTGGGATCACCAGATTCGGAGTGGCTTCGGTTTAGAGGGGAAAGGAAAGGGCAAGGAACGAAGAGTTCTAGTAGTTATTGGAAAGAGAGAAGAGAGAGAGAGAATGAGAGAGACCTGGATTTTAGGACTGCCACGATTTCTTGCCTCTTACCTTCTGCAACAGGCTCTAAGCTGTCCCCCGACCTCCCTGCGTCTGCTGAACACAGGCAGGACGGAGAAGCCGAGGCTGCATGGCTAGCTCCCCAGTCCTCTTCCTGCTCCGTGATTCATCTGCAGATTATCCCCGCTGTTTAAACACGCATACGCTCAAAAGGGGCTTCACTCCAGTTTGGGGCAGGCGCGCGCGCGCGCACACACACGCACACACACAGAGACATACTCGCGCCCCTCTTTCCCCTCCAGGAGCCCCCCTTCTGCTGCTGCCCCCCTTCCCCAGTCCCTCCTCCCAGCCCAGCTGCAGGAATGCGGCGCGGTGGCCCCTGCGCGCTCCGCCGAATCTGGTTGTCATTAAGGCTGCCAAGAAGCAGGCAGAGTTTTTTCTTTCCGCCAGCGCCGCAGCCTCCCTTCAGACCCGAGTTCACAGCTCCCTGGAGAGCAACACCCGATCGCGGAGATCCCTTGGCGTCTGGCTGGGGACACTTGCCTTACGGGCAGGAATCCGAATTGGAGCTTGACTCCGAATTGAGGTGTTTCTCTGTCCACTCCTGTATCTTCCCCCAACATCCCATCCAGCTCATCCCCAGACCCGATCCTCGGAGATTCCCCACCTCTCCATCTTCCCCTCTGCTCCAGAGCGCTGCGTCTTTCTCGCTCCGCGCCAGGAAGAAAGAGAGCGTCTCACCTTGGAATGAGGCGAAAGCTCCGTTTCCACCACCGCCCCCCTCTCTTTGCGATAAGCTGCCCCGCAAATCCAAAAACTTTCCTGCAGCTCCCCGTTGTTTCAGGAGAAAGCTGCGGTCTTGGACACACTGCCTTGGGATTCAGCTCCCTACTTGATCGACGGGGAGGGGGCTCGGTTACTTTACTTCTGCGCACATAGAATCGCGTGGCAAAGTCTCCCTCCCACCGCGCGCCTGTGTCCCCAAAGGCGCTTTCTTATCCCACCCAGCTCTCCGTTTGCTAGAATCCGACCTCGAAAACGTCCCGAAGGAAAAAGAGAGAAAGAGAGAGAGAAGGAAGAAATCCCTTCCCTTACCTTCTTGTGTTAATAATCCATAAAAAATAGTACGAGGAGAACGAAAACTTTGTTTTTGTTTTTGCCCCCAAGTAAGGTCCCAGTCTCCCTGCTGCTATTTTCCCTTCTCTGATGGCCTCAGAAACAGAGTCCTGTAATTGATTCAATGCTAGAGACCATCCTGCCCAAACTAATCATTTGCTTCAAGTAAATAGCTGTCAGGAAATGAAGCCCCCCCCCCCCGCGCTCCTTCATAATAAGAGCCTCCCTGGTTTGTTGGGCGCCTGAGCTCCTCTGCCCGCCTCTTACGCTGGAGGGGGGCGGGAAGGGGGGGTCAGCCCTGGCTTTCGGGCTTCATTTGGGACGGGGGCGGAGAAGCGCGTGCGTGCCTCTGTGTGTGTGTGTGTGTGTGTGTGTGTTGGCGATGGGGAGAGCTTGACCATATGGTAGAGGCTGGAGGTGGGAGGGGGACATTTGCACGACAGGGGGGTGACTTTATTTCCCCTTCTTCCCAAATGGTCCCAATTTCATTCATGAACGAACAGAAGTTTCCCCTCCTCACACAGTCCCAGGGACGGTGGGTCGGTCAGCTGCGTAGACTTGGGTTCACGCTCGCCATGTAAGTTGATGGAGGCGCAATCGTGGTCGTCCTGACTTGCTGGTTTATTTATGATACTGTCGTTTCACAGACTGGCCCCAGCCCTGCAGCCAGTCTGTGTGGAGGGAAAGCTGAGATGGGTTGTTGCGGACTGATCAGACCGCGGCTCAGGGAGCGCTAGCGAAGCCCATGTTGCTACGGAGTATTTGTGAATGAAACGGAAGGAGAATGGGAGGTTTGGCGAGGAAGGGGGGGAGGGAATATGCCCATCCATCTCTTTTCCACAATGGTGGCATTCTACTGCTTCGTGATTTATTTATTTTTGCTGAGCGCACAGTCACAAGAACCATGTAAAGGTCTTCTTCTTCCCAAGGTAGATAACCAGGGAGTTAAGTTTCTATCCGGGAAGATATTCCGCGTGAAACTGCAGGAGGGTTGCAATGATCTGTGAATAGCTCAGTTGGTAGAGCTATGAGGCTCTTAAGCTAAGGGTCGTTGGTTCGAGCCTCACCTGGGCAAAAGATTCCAGGAGGTTGGGCAATAGATGACCCTCTGATTCTGTGATTTTACGACGATCCGAAGCGCATCAAGTGTCACTCGAAAGACTGTTTTGAACTGGAGTGCCAGAATAGCCCGGTCAGGTTGGTGACTGGGTAAGGAAGAGATGCTGTGAGCATTCCTGGGCGTGTTGCTTGTTTGTGTGTGTGTGTGTGTGTGAGAGAGAGAGAGAGAGAGAGAGAGAGATGTTGGTGGGACAAGGAGATCTGGGCGCTATCATCGTGGGAGTTAGAACAGGCTGCTATATTTATTTTCCGTCTAGCTCGTAGGAAATGAAGCATCAGAACGCTCCGCTTCTTGCAACTTCGGAGCTGTTCCGCTTTGGTGGCCAAGGGGGCAGTGCAACTCCAGGAAAGAGCGCGGGGAGGTGGAGGGTGCGGGGAGGCGCTGATCATCTCCATTTCAAGGCGCGCGTTAGAATAATAAATTTGGAAAGAAAAAAAGCAGCAGCAGCAACAACAACAACCAAAAAAACCGAGGGTCCTCTGGCGTAAACTCTTTTCCTTTCCCCCTCAAACTGCTTTTGCTCTCTTTCTCCCTTCCTCCCAATGGAAAATTCCTGCAGGGGTTTTTCAGCTCAGTTCAATTCATCACTCGGTTGCCAGATATTGCCTGTTGCTCTCTGGCCATCCTTGAAAACGCACTGCCTCTATCTCTATAGGGAGCGGGTTGCTGCCACCCCTTATCCTCTCTGTGGAGAGCCGCGGTGGGTCATCACCATCCCAGATGCTGCTTGGAAGAAGAAATATAGTCCAGAGAAATGATCGCTCGGGCTATAAGTTGGTTGGGAAGGGCTATTTCCCCTCCCGGCTCTTCGTCCATGACACGTCCGTGTGTTTGTTTCTGGGGCTGAAATCAGGAGCAGCTGGCTGAAGGGATCTGGCAATTCTAAGGGACCTGATGGAGGCAGAGGAACTGGCTGCCTTGCTCCCAGGGCAGACTTTCCCTGCTCATGTCAAGGATCCCCTCTGGCTTGCGTTTCTCTGGGCTCATATTGCCTGCAGCCCCCTTAGCAAGACTCTCTTTCGACGACTGCATCGTCAACTGGGGTGAATGCGCAGCCCTGGCCTATTGCTTCCACATGTTCCTTCAGGAAATCATTGGAGGCAAACCTATGAACAGCCCCTTGTTCGGAATGCTAACAGGATACCGTATTGCCTGGAGAGGAACGGCACTCTGCAATCTGCAGCTCAGCGCCAGGGAAGAAAAATCCTATGTGTGTAACTTACCTTCTCGAAGTTGATTATGGCTGAAAGGCTAATACAGGAAATACAGGTTTATGTTATGGATTGGGGAGATGGGGGGGGGGGGAGAGAAATCTCCCGAAACTGACCGGTTGCAAGAACTCACCAGCCAATTGCTTCAGAGGCCCCCGGGGGTGGGGGTTGAGTTTGGACTCCAAAAAGAGCGCTTTGGTGTACCTGGTTTGTGGACTGCAAGCCTAGCTAAGCTCTATGGAGAGAAGGGAGGGAAATAATAATCAGCAGTTTAAGAATAGAAAAGGAGTGTGAAGCGACACAGCACACAGTAAATAACAATGATCCGTGGCAAAGATGCTCCATTGGCAATATCCATAGCTGTCAATGTTTCCCTTTTTTTTAAGGGAAATTCCCTTATTCCGAATAGGATTCCTCGCAAGAAAAGGGAAAAGTTGGCAGCTATGGCAATATCCCTCCTGCATGGGGTGGGGGGTCGGGAGGTCACACGACCAGATGTGTAAAATCCTTTGGAATTAAGCCGATCAGGTCTCATTGTCGTCGGTGGGCTTGCGTCTGCTTCTATTCAAGTTGCTACAGTCTAACCGAGTCCGCTGGATCTGCCCGTGCGTCGTCAGCGCGCAGGGAAGGAGAGGAGAGGGCGGGAAAGCGGGGGTTGGGGTTTCTCTGTGCAGATAAAAAGCCTGGAGAACTGATAATGGGTACTTTTGTTGCAGGACGTATAGTCCGGGCCAGATGTGAAGACGGAGCTACTGCTCTGGAAAAGAAAGGAAGAAAGATAAGGGGGAAGAGGCGGGAAGAGCGAGTGGGGGAGAAGGGAAGAGGAAAGCGTATTCTGTTTGTAATTAGCTGCCTGATTTGAATAATGCCTTTGTTAGGATTGTAAGCCCGGAGAAACGGAGGGTTTGCAAGTGAGATCGGGACAGAGGGCATCATCACACGTCCCTTCTTCTGATGCTACAGTTCATAGATGGACAGATCTATGGATGGATGACGGACTGACATTGGCCAGCTTAATATGAAGGCAGCTCATCTATCAATAATAGGAGAGGGGTGGTATTACACACACACACACACACACACACACACACAGAGCAGCACCTTTTCTTCGACTTTGCAGGGAGCGAGCGCTAAAGAGAGGCCAAGAGAGGCCTTTGATCCCGCGATGTTATTCTAAGATCCTACAAGATAGTTGGACGGAGAGGAGCAGAGGTGCCATCCCTGTGTGGTCTTCCTGCGCTTGGGAACAGGGCGAGAAATCCTCGCTTTCCCCGCCTCCAACCACCTTCCTCTAAAGCCTGGGTGTTTATTTTTTCCCCCTTATCTAAGTAGCTGGGGGTTGATAGAAAGCAGAGAATATTCACACCATATGTGCCCTTGGGTAAGCAGACTGTTGCCCTGGCCCCCTCCCACCAGCCCTCAGCTGTCTCCTCGCCATTTGCTGGGAAGGGAGCCCCGCTGGGCTGAAGTCAACGCCCGCCCCCCCCCTTCTCTCTCATCCTTCGCCTCCTTCTCTATCCTATTGTGCTCAGGAGCCAGCCAGCTCTCGTTAATGGCAGGGGGGTGCTGTGATCGGTGAACTGTGGCTATCTTGGCCCAAAAGAGAAAGTGCCACCGGCGCCCTTTCCATCCAGCGTGTCGACTGTGTGGCCACTGGGAAGCCAGGATGCTCCAGGGAAGAGGGATGGGAGCATTGCCTTGAGGGGGGCAGTGGGGGAGGCGGAAAGGAGCTTCGCGTACATCGGATCAGGATCTGTTCGTGCGCATGTGTGTGTGTGTGTGTGCGTGTTGGGGGGTTTTCAGAAACATCACCTCCCTCTCTCCCCCAAAGTAGTCTGCAGGACATTTGTTTTTCACTGAGATAGTCCATTTTAAGCTTCGTGCGATTTGCAACGTCTCCTTTAAGCACCACATTCTTCATATATATGCAGAACAAACTGGAGCCGGCGTGTCAGAGGAGGGGCGAGTGTGTATTCCTCTGTTACGCATCAATCTGTGAAGAAGAGTGTCTGTCCTGCTTCAGTTATCCTTTTTGGGGAAGCTATCAGATCCTAACAGGGAACTAGACGCTTACCAGAAAGTTAGCCTTACAGCGCATTCCATAGGTTGCTGCGCAAAAGTGAATATCAATGGGACTTACTCCCAGATAAATGTGTCTATGAATGTAGCACCAGTGTAGTTTTCATTAATGTTATGGTCCAGTGGTTCCCAATTAGCCAAGAACCGTTGTTCAAAAGCCAAGCCATGAAATCTGAATTATCTTTATGGTAGTTTTTGTTGTGTGACTGGTGCAGGGACTCGTTTTGTGGGTTATGCGGACCCCCTGGGGGGGTCTATGGACCACTGATTGGGAACCACTGTTGCTGTCGGGATTAATTGCCATACTTTGTGAAAACCAGGGGAAGAGTCCAGTCCACAGCTTCCCGAAGAGTGTATAGATAGTGGATTACAGGAATGCAGGATAGTTACACCTGAGGGCTGTTTCACACGTGCATGCTTGTCACATTGGTGGCCTCACTTCAAGGGAGACTATTGGTGTATGGGGGCGGGCTGATGTCTGAAAGAAAATCAATGCTGTGGTGTGCTGGGTCTGCAAATGGCTCATTCACAGGATGGCTGATTCACACGTGCAAGCATTGATGCAGTCATCTGGGTGATGGGGCATCAGTGTGTAAAACATATGTGGACATCCTGCATTAAATCCCTGCACCTTTCCCTGAGGAAATGTATTTCGTTATATTTGAAACTGCCCTTCTTTAATCCCTCTCTGTCTGACTGCCATTAAGCTAGGATTGATACATTCTTCGTGATGATTGATTGATTGATTGAAGAATCTAATGTTGAATAGATCTCAATCAGTCCTGTTCCTTGATAGAAGGTAATGTACTTATGCTAGTATTGTCTAAACAGCCAATATATATATATATATATACACACACACACACAGAGCCTATACACACACACACACACACATATATACATATGTATATATATATATATATATACACATATATATATTCTGATATGCATATGTTTTTATGTTCCCATAAAAAAAATACTTTCCCATAAGCGTTGGGAAACATTACACCTCTGGATTCCAATCAGTTAATCAATACATCAATCGAGTAAAAGCAAAGCAATGAATAGATTAACACCTCCTCCCAAATACAAAGATGAATTTGGACATTTTGAAACAGAACTTGCTTGGCACATACGCTTACAGCCAGGCAAATATACTTGGGTTCGCAGCATAAAACACTGTTCATTACAAAATATTATGTCTACTCGGGAGGAATCTACATTGACTTCAACGAGACTCTCCCAGGTTGTGGCCTTAATAGCTTGACGAATTCATATCATTTCCCATAAGTGCCTGTTTTATGGCAAGCTTCCTGTTCTTTCCGTGTCCCAGTTATTTTTATATATTTTTTAAAAGAAAGCGTTGAGTGAGGGCTAAAACGTCCACTAGGTTTTAGTAGACTGAACTCGATCCATATTTTTGTAATTTTTTTTATTTTTTAGGACGCGTTTCAAATCTGATTTCTCAGTTATATAGATTTTTTGGCAGCAGTTTTTCTTTTGAAACAGAAACACTAAAAAAATTGCCTTGCTGTATCAAATCGAAGATCCATCTAGTCCAGAGATCAGGGTTCCAAAAGTAAGCAGCCAAAGACTGAACATCCCACTGGGACCGATGGGAACAGATCTGAGGCATCCGCAGCGCTCACAACAAAAGCTAATGGA